CGTAGTAAACACAGAGCAACACCATGAAGCTGAGAAGGAGTATTATGCATCCATCGTATGCTAAATAGATGCATCTTTGTTTCCAGGATTTGTGCTCAGCCAATTGACCAGTCCTCTGCCTGTAAACTGTACCAGACACATATGAGTGGTTCTGACTCATTAATGGGATTCAGAGATAAAAATAGGTTAATAAACGGATGTCATTAATATGGAGAGGATTTAAAAGCAGCCTGCATAAATGCTGCCTTCAAAAATAACAAATTAGTGCCTTTGTATCTTTGTCACCACTGAGCGTTTAACTTTTCTTATTGTCGTTATTTTTAGGATAACACTTGTGGATACTATTTTTATAGTAAATATAAATATGACAAGTTATTGTATGTCAAATGCTGTTTGTTAATGTTCTGCAGGCTGATACTATATTTGTCTGATCTGATAGATGATGCACTTTTGATGTACCAATAATGTTTCAGTCTTTTTATGAAGTGAAGTAATGCAGTAAAACATGGTGGCATGCAGACTTGTTTTAGCTGGATCAAAGGCCTCGACCCTGACAGAAGGAGCCCTGCAGCGGTAAACCACTGCTAACATAATCGAGTATTTGCTGTGTAAAAGTGTCAGAGGAAGGCCAAGGACGGCTTAAATATGTATTGAAATGTAACTAGGCTGTTGTGTGTGTGCTGCTGTTTTCTACCACCTGACCTTGATGTAATGCTGTTTTTTATGTTGTTTATCATCAGTCATGTACACTCATGACTGTTGGTAGGGATTAGCCTCTGACAGAATAAACCGAGCTAAAATTCATCAATATGGTTGCAGTTTTAATTATGAAGCTGGATCAGGTGACACAGGTGTTTGTTGCTTATCCATAACGGGCTTTCCAATAATCATGTAGTTAACGAACCCTTAATAGGTGCAGAATTATGCCGCTGAGTGTAGCAGGCGATTTTCGGGTTGTTTGTTTTCATGCTATTAAGCTCCGTGGCGTTAAATCCCTGACCTCAGCGCTGTCTTTACAGATGAGCTGCTGAATGAGAGCTGTAACTGAAACGACAGCATGCTGGATCCCTCTAGAGCTGGGGAATTCAATTCAGCAATTATCCAGCATGTTTTCGTGGTTTCTCTGCTCCAACACACTTGATTCAGTGGTTGAATCACCTGTGCAGCAGCTCATCAGGCTCTGCAGAAGCCTGTTAATCACCTGCTGATTGAAATCAGGTGTGTTGAAGCAGGGTTAAAACTTGCTGGATACTGGCCCTTGAATATCCCTGCTCTAGAGACTTGAAGCAACAAACATTTTAAATATAGAGTAATGGTAGAGCCGATGTGGTTTTATTCCTGCCTGAATCCAGGACAAATCTACATTATTTTCCAATTTAGGCTGAAAACAATGTGCTGTTTTGTTAAGGTATCACTTACCCTTTTATTTTAAAACAGTGCAGGGTTTGAAGTCTTGTTCATTCATATTTTATGTATTTCTTGTTTGACATTGTCTTTGTTTCCAATGAAGTAATGGCAACTAAGTACAACTTTATTTATAGGGATGCACCGATCAGTTTTTTGCTGCCGATCACCGATACCGATATCAAAGAATGCTGATCACTGATACCGATCACGTGGATTGGCCAGAAAATTTCTACAACATTATAATGAGTGCTACAAACTACATAATCTGGGAATAAAGGAAATGTAACCTAATCTAAAATGGTCTGTATTAGGGTTGTCACAGTGTGAAAATTTAACCTCATGGTTATTGTGACCAAAATTACCACGGTTTTCGGCATTATCGCGGAATTTTTTTTTAAACGTGCTACATTTTCACACGATTAAATAAACCCTGTATGTCAGGAAATATTGTCCTCGGTTTGTGTCCTTCCAGTGAGCTTTGCAGATGTGGGAAAATGTCATCAGGCAGTAATCATTGTTAAATTCATAATTATTCTCGGAGAGAGACCAACTCTTATCTGCCCCTGGGAGCCCCGTAATGCATAGCGTCATTTCAACATGGCGGTGTCCGCTTCACGGTTTATATGCAGGTAGCGGCGCTGCAGCTGCTTTATATAGCGACTCGTTGCATTCTCCCTCAACCCAAATCCTCAGATCACGCATTTTAGCTAAAACGCTAACTTGCCTTGCGTTGACTGTAGAGTTGTGGGTGATGGTCACGCAGATGTGTCATGAGATTTGAAGCGTTGCTGCCTTTCACAGACACTTTTTCTGCTCGTGCTGCAAACAGGATAGCCGTCCGTCTTCTATAAACTCCCTCGGCATTCTTCAGATATCTAAAATATGCCCATACTTCCGACTTTGTCTTCTTTGAGGGATAATAAATGTCCTCCTGAGCGCTGCCGTCTCCTCCTTTGGCCATTATTTCAGCTTTAGCTTCAAGAAAGTTTTGGTTGTAAACAACGAAGCGCGCAACTTCAGCAGATGATACGGTGGCTGGTAAGGGTCACCACGCCTACACCGCAGCCACGGTAAACCCACCAAGATAATATAGTTTTTAAAAAAACAAGACGGTTATTATTATTGTCAACTTTTTTTTTTTTACCTGGGTTTACTGCTACACTGGTTACCGTGACAACCCTACCTGATCGGTCTGCTTTGATCTATTTTGAAAACTCCGATCAAAACCGATAGGGGCGCTATCGGCCGATTACGATCAAATGCCGATCCATCGGTGCATCCCTATTTATTTATATAGCATCTTCATAGATAACAATCACAAAGTTCTTCACAGATTCAGAAAACAAACAAAAACACAGGATACATCAAACATGAACAGATTTAGTTGTGAGCCTAGCAGAAACAGTCTGGAACCTGTCTAAGGAAGTTTTAGTTAAACGTGTGTTGAGTGCACTACAATAGTCAAGATGAGACGAAACAAAGTCACAAATGAAAATTTCACATGAGACAATGGAACCAAGTTTAGGAATATTTATTAAGTGATGGAAACTGAATCGATCTAGAGATTTCACACGATTACCTGACATAAAACCTGAGTCAAAAGTTATCCCAAGGTTTCTAAAAGTAGATTTGGCTAGCCCCTCCAGAGGCCCAAGGATCTCTTTTGCCTTCTTGTTTTCTGGCACAAAAATAATTACTTCAGTGTCTTTAATTAAAGAAAACTGTCAGCCATCACACACTTAACAGAATCTAGACATTTTAACAAAATATGCAATTTCAAGACGTCATTTGTCGTAAAAATAAATAAACTGGGGCATCATCAATATAACAAAGAAAGAAGATTTAGCGAGGGAGCAGATAGTGAAAATAAAAAGGCCCAAAGACAGATCCCTGAGGAACACCAAAATAAACAAGACAGGAACTAAATTACCCACCATCAATATTTTTATTTGAGACAAAAAAAAAGCTGTTTCAGTTGTGAAGAACTGATTTATATGTTTAACGATTAAAAACAACCAGTGTGTTTTTAACTCATCATCGCTATTCTGCTGATCAGGATCGATACTGATTTCAGAGCCCTCGACCTGTTTGTTTCCACTTCAGCTTTCAGATACTTTATCCAGATTGTCCTGAGTACTTCTTTAGCTTCTCTGTAAAAACCCGAGTATTCAAATGGGCAAAATTCTAATAATATATAGAGCTCTGATTTGACGGTGTTTGCTTAGCCGATTACAGTTTTCACGTCCAGATACTCTTGCTTTTATGTGACATAAGACAAATCCTGCAGAGGGACAAACACCTCCTTGTAGCTGATCTCAGGCCTGTGTGTGATTGTTCAAATCACAAATAAAGGCTTAGCATTGCAACTTGTCAAAACTTTTAAGATAAGACCATGGGTGTTTCTCAATGTCAAGGCGCCTTACTTACGAGGACACTGTCCTTCCTTGGTCAAAGAAAATGGTTAAATGGAACAGACTTGCATCACGTGACCGTGGCTTCAACGGCAGTCACATAACGTCACGTGACACGGGAGATAACGTTATATTTTATACATATAAGTTTCAATATAAATATATAACGAGCATTTTACTTTTTAAATTGTGTATATATTTGTTAAATAAAAATATAAGTGAGTTACTACCTGCTAGCCACCGAAGCTGCAACTACTAAGCAACTAACCAACCATAGATGACTTCTTTGGATCTATTAAAACATTTTAAATTAGTTGACTTACTTTAAAACTTGAAATTTGACCCCGAAGTAGCTGCTGGCTTCTAATCCACCATCTTTTTAAAAATACCGCGGCGTATTCTGGGTAATTTTTGACCAAGGCTAGTCTACAAGACACCTCCTGTGTATCCTTGCTCAGCTAGCTAAACGGCTAGCAAACTGAGAAAACATGCCTCAGTAGAATATGAACATTGGAACACGTCTTGGCGGCTCCTGATGATGTATCTCCTAGACAACCAGGGCGGGGCCAAGACCTAAAGTTGAGGTTTCTTGGCATTGAGAAACACCCCCATGACATAGTTGTTGTTTTTTTTTCTCTAGCAGGGAAGAGAGACACGGGAGTCTTTCATTAGGTCTGATGACATTTTTGAGGATGAATTTATCTCGTGTGATGCTGCATTTTCACAGGCTGATGGGTCACTTGGTCTAGGAGTCACATTGCAAAAGTTTGTTTTTAATTTGTTTTTTAGAGAAACATCAGAAATAGCTGCAAGTTCATGTTTACACCATATAGACAAGATCTTTTGAGTTATTGTAACTGATTATCTAAACCTGAGAGGTAATGAGACCAACGGCCTCGACGGCCAGCAGCTGTGTTTACATCGTTGTAAAAAACAATTTTAAACTGCTTATTTAGTTTGCTGAATCAACGGCAAAGCGACTCTGCTCCATTAGTCAGCGGTTCCAAAGTGGCGAGTCATGCATCAGTCAAGCTTTTTGGCTTTAAATAGCTGAGGAAACATTTACTGTTTTTATCACTGATCTCTAATGTTTCATTATCCTGATTATCTCCTGCTGCCTTTTGATGTGGATGTGTGCATAAAACCTTTTAAGATGTCTCATAAATGCTTGTTTTTTCTCAGGCGTTGGACCAAGATCGAACATCTCTGCAGAAAGTGAAGAAGTCAGTGAAGGCCATCTACAGTTCAGGTCAAGGTGAGGCTTTTTTTTGTTCACAACCTCCTCCAAAAAGTCCCTCTAGACTAGAGAAAAGCCAAGGCTTCTTTTTTTCTTCTGGTGTCTCTAAAAGCATGAAAATACCGTAGCTTATTTTTGGTGTGTGTGTGTGTGTGAACAATTCCTTTTGTGGGACAGGTGTGTGTGTGTGTGTGTGTGTGTGTGTGTGTGTGTGTGTGTGTGTGTGTGTGTGTGTGTGTGTGTGTGTGTGTGTGAACAATTCCTTTTGTGGGACAGATGTGTGTGTGTGTGTGTGTGTGTGTGTGTGTGTGTGTGTGTGTGTGTGTGTGTGTGTGTGTGTGTGTGCGTGCGTGCGTGCGTGTGTGTGTGTGTGTGTGAACAATTCCTTTTGTGGGACAGATGGTAGTCTGTCTTTATATCCAAGACATCCCAGAATCCAGCACCTGAGTTTGTTTACATGGTTCTGTGTTGCAGATCTTTGGTAATTGTCCTGTGAATGTTTGTAAATGCAGCTTTCAGCCCTGTAATTAAACAGTTTGAGTGTTTTTTTTTTTGTGGGGGTGGGGTGGGGGGGTTTCAGGTGAGGAAATGTCCGTGGACGAGCAGCTGGAACCAGTGGGATTTATTTATTTATATTTTTATAGTTGCTGTCTTCTGGAAGTGTAACAGGAAACATGACCTCTAAAAAGCGATGAGAGTGGGATTATTGTGCATCATTCTGTGTGATGTTGTGATGTTATTTTCCCCTTGGGGTGCTGCACGTGAATTAGAGAAAATTTAAGTGAGACGGTACAGAACGTCCAGGTTCTTTACTTTAATCCATCTTAATTTTTAGTTAGATTTGGCGCCATAACCCTTCCAGAAGTGCAGAAAGAATGATCTGATTTCAGTTGAATAAAATTAACTCCCTTTTTAACGAGAGAGAGAATCAATGACCGCACTCTTTTGTGATATTTGAGACTCTGTGATGTTGATTTTGCGTCACCTGACCATGTTTCCCACCCAACAGTGGAGAACAGTAGAAGGAGTTGGTGTTAAGCCTATAATTCTAGAGCAGTCGCTTTTCTTTCCACATAAACATCAGATCAGCTAAACTGTTCTGACCTTAAAAATGCATGAGCTTCTTCTCCTCTTCGCTAGCACTGGCAGCAGTCTAAAACCGTCCCCCCTCCACTTCCTAATGACGAGGACAGCTGGATTCTGCTGTTTAGACTGACCAACCGCTCCTGCGGAGTTTCATCCACCAGGAGAACCACTCATCTTATTATGCGGACACAAACTGTACATAAAGTTATGTAAACGTGTTTTTAGAAAAGTCCCAGGTTGGGGTGTTTATTATTGTTGAGGTTGTGTCATTGGTGAGATGAAGGAACTTTCCATTGCAGGAGCGCTTGAGTATTTCTGCAGCATCTGTGTTTTTACAGACGTCAGTCCAGCCAGTCCTTTTATTTTCTGCTCCAGGTGTGTTTCAGATACATCTGAGAGTACAGGATGTCTCTTACCAGGATATTTGTCCACTTTTATTATAAATCTACCATGTTAGCTTTCACTAAGAAAATATCTCCATGTAGTTCTTTAGGGGGAGAAATGGAACACGATGATTTTGGAACAAAAACAATATGTTTCCAAAAGGATTCTGTCTATGGAGATAAAATAATGGGTCTAAATGAATAAATTCATGATTTTTTAAATGTCACCTTCGTTTTAAGACTCTTTTAATATTTATTTAACTCACTCAGATTAAAAGTGTCTTTAGCAGTGTCTTTAAATTGCATTGGATTAAAAAGTCATTCCGAGCATCTTGCAATCCAGATTATTCTTTTGCAAAGAAGACTTTGCTTATTTGAATCAAAAATGCCAAGTATTCTTCATGTCTGGTGATGTTTTTGTTTTTACGTAATACAGCCATGTGGCTTTGAAGTAAAACAGCGTTGAACAGAAACGCATGTTCAAATTCAAAATAAATTTAAATGAAAAAGAAAACTGGATCAGAAGAAACTTAAAAATCTAATCAGAGTAAGACTTGAGAAAACATCGGTTCCTCAAATGTACTGAGCTTTTATTAAAAGGGAAAAATGCAGTTATGGGACTTTGATTTTTGTAGAAAGCTTTAAACCTCCTTATCTGTGTCATCTTCTATGCTGACGATGCAACACTCTATAATAAAGAGCAACCTCCTCCAGTTTCCTGCACATATGCTAAGCTAACGGCGCCAATTATGAGTCAAAAAACCAGGGCAGGATAAGATGACCACTTCTTTTCTTTTGTCTCATTCTAACACAGATCACGTTCAGAATGAAGAGAATTATGCCCAAGCTCTGGACAAGTTTGGGAGCAACTTCATCAGCCGGGACAACCCTGACCTGGGTACAGCCTTTGTTAAGTTCTCCTCCCTCACCAAGGAGCTGTCTGCCCTACTGAAGAACCTGGTGAGTGCAGCTGATCACAGAACAATCAAGAAATAAAAGATGGAGAGCCCATTCTGCTGAATGCCTCAGCCTCGCTAAGACAGTAGGAGGAACATTGTTTCTCCACAGCTTGCTTTTCCTTGTCTTCACCTGCAGAAGTGGTTCAGGATTTGGGTGAAAGGTTGAGATTAGGATTATGTTAACTCAAGGGTTGATGGGAGGCAGAAACTGATGGGAGGCCACATTTACTGTGAGGGTTTTCATTTCCCCCCAGACAGATTCTTATCTACATGTCGTGGATTTCCCCTGACGTCTATGTTAAACAACGTGTCCTGTTTTAAGTCCTTTTTGACCGATTGTTGCTGGAAGAAGAGCCAAATCCCCCTCTATAGTCTCCTACTCTTCCCATGTGTCTGACAGTGAGATTAGACTCTATAAATACACTTGGCAGCAGCAGGAACAGCTGTTTATGCATACACAAATGGCTCACCTGTCTGGAACCAGCCGACTGTGGGAATCTCCTTCAGCCGCCCTGTCTGCTTTACTCTTTTCATTTCTGGGAGTTAATTGAGTTTTTTGACTTCCATAGCTGCACTATGAGAGAAGCTGGTCTGATGATTTAGTATTGATCAATAAAACTGTGCCCTAGATGTCCCATATGTGCCATCAGCTGTATTATAGGATTTTACCAACTGATTCATGCATCAGCTACTCTGTTTATTCCCTTTCTGAGAATCATGTTGTTTGAGAAAGCCTGTGACGGTTTCCAAGACGAGCTGTTAGCACACCAGCAGCCGGCCAGAGAAAGATTGATTTTGATGTTAGCCATATGCAGGACAGGCACTTAGGAAGCGCATTAGTGCCCATTAAGTGCTGTTTACTTCCTTGATCGCTGCTGTGCATCAGTGTGGACCTGGCTCACAACAACAGCGACTTAAATGCTTAGTTCTGTTGTAAATGACCTTGCTGATCCTCTCGGTTAGAGCTGCTGAGCACAGCTGAGGCAACTATAGCTGCAGGACACATCAAGCCTCTTCTCATTCTTCTATAAACTTGGCAGAGGTTTGCCTTTGGGTTTGATTTCTCCAGTCAGCAACATCAGAAACGCGCTGAATTATTGTATCTTTCAGCAGGAATATTTAGTTTGTAGTTTAGTTTCAGTTAAGCATCATTGATGCAAAAGTCAAATACTTTACTTCTAATAACTTTTTATTGATTAAACCAATCAGCTTTTTTGGATTGAAATCACTGCGCTCATGAAAAATGCTTCGTCTTATTGAATATTGTGACAAATTTATTAAAGACCTTTCCTCAGAAATAATGTGTCCAACACCTCACTCGATTGACCACACCAAAGCAGCAGAGAGATAACGTTACGCAGGAGGAGCAACATTTTTTGACACACCAGTCTCACTCAGACATCTCTGTTGTTTGAAGGTTTGAATTATTCACTATAATGTACTGTTTCTTCAGTCATGACCCAGTCTCCATGCTTATTATGCACTGGTAGAACTTGGCTGGGTCCAAATCCATGGGTAGTGTTCTTTTGGGTACCCATCCTTGCCGATCACGTAGGTCGGTTCCTTCTTCGACCGCTAAGAGCACAAGTGAGCGCCTACGAATTGATGTAGTAAAGCCCCATACCTCAGCATTTGTCTCGCCACCCAGTGACCATAACAGCAGTAAACAGAAGTTAAAACTAAAATTAAATTATTTATAGTGAATCTGTTAACACAGTCACAAAACACTCCCCTGGGTATCTTCCCTAGATCTGCGTCAACTGGAACTGGAAACGCGCATTGCCAGAGGAAACGAGAAAGCGCTAAACTCCACTGTGGACAGCAGTTGCTCAGGAAGCAGAGCGGGGTGTCTCCGTGCGGGGTGTTTTTGGTTTTTTACCTTAGTCGGGTTGTGCTGCGGAGACAAATTACTATGCTTCAGGACGCTGAGGCAATGACAATAAGGTTGATTCAGATTCTGAATCAGAGGGTTGTAGGATCAATAAGAGCCCTGCACGGGCCTAAAATCTGAGCCCGTGTCCGGCCCGGCCCGAGGGGGTGGAGCCCCAGCCCGACCCGGTCCGAAACGGTTCTCAGGATTCTCTGGCCCGACCCGAGCCCGACTTTTTTTTTTTAACCTTTCATAATGTTTTAGCGTGATAGAATGCTCCGCATTCTAATTATCTGTGAGCAGCGTTCTGCAGGGAAAAAAAAAGAAATAGAAAAGAAAAGAAAGAAAAACAGCATCAATGCAGCTTTTTTTTCTAACAGAGCATATTTTTCGACCGGCAGATGAAATTTGCTAACACTATATTATCTGGATGCGTTAGTAAATTTAATCCGCCGCTCTGAAAGTGCGCTCTCCAGTTAGAAAAAACCCAGCAATGAATGGTGTATTTTTTTTAACTGCAGAGCGAATTTATTCACAGAAAAATAGAATGCTGCCGTTTTCATGAGAATAAACGAATGGTTTCTGACATATCAAAGTGGACTTAAAATGACATATTAGAATAGGGGCACATGTTTCAATCAGCAGTTTGAGAATTTGTTTTTATAGGCGCATTTATAAACCACACAGACCTTAACTGAGCTAACGGGTGCTGGTGCGTGAGAAGCAGGCAGGTGTGTTAAGTGTTTCAGTTTTTTTAATGAATTTGATTAAAAATAAAGGCGCCCGGCCCGTGTCCGAGGTAATTACACAGTCGTTGGCCCGAAGCCCGGCCTTCGGGCCGACCCGACCCGACCCGAGGGCCTAGGGCTTCAGTGCAGGGCTCTAGGATCAACCCCAGCTCCTGACAAAGAATTCTGCTGTTGTGTCCTTGGGCAAGACATTTAACCCACCTTTCCTGATGGTGGTGGTCGGAGAGACCAGTGGCATCACTGTTTGGCAGGCTCCCTTCTATTAGGGCACCCCAGGGCAGCTGTGGCTACATTGTAGCTCATCATCACCCAGGGTGTGAATGTGTTTGTGTGATTGGGTGAATGACTGATTGTGTTGTGCAGCGCCTTGGGGGGTTGTAGAACCCTAGAAGGCACTTTACAAATACAGACAGTTTACCGTTGGGGGGGACGTTATTTTAGGTTTATGTGAAAATAAGTCCAGGACTACAAATGTGCTTCACAAACGTGAAATCATCGAACCAGACACGGAGAAAAACAGAGGGAAAATAGCTGTAAGTTTAGCAAACTTGAAATCCTTCCTTTAGGAGGAAAAAACACAATAAATCAGGCCATGAGTTAAGTAGCAGCTATGCTAGGAGAGAGGAGATTCTGTGGTGATGTCACATATGCGACGTGCAGATGTCTGATTTGTAGCTAATTACAAACTTACAAGCTGATAAATCTCAAAGTACATGACAGGAATGGTCGTAACACCCATCATTAGGTTTAATTTAAATTACTGTACAACTTGAACAGTCATTCAAAGTGATGAATACATGAAGATTTTTAATTTTGATTTAAAATTTACTAGAGTTGGGGCACTTCTGTGTGCAGCATTTCATCATTAATTACATCAATAAAATACATTTTTACCTTTTTAAATCAATTCCGAAACCTTTATGTCCACTGTGATGCATCTAAAAATTTATGTTTTTCTCCTACACATAATTAGTGTAAAATATAAAATATCCTCTTCTAATGTTAGATTCTTGAAAAAAACATGGAAGGACATTGGTATGAAAGAATTTCCATAATTGAAACCATAAACACATGTCCACTAGCAATTTTTGTCAATTTGTTGAAGACGCCTCAAAGTTTATGTTTATATTAAGACGTTATGTCTTATTGTCATGAACACAGGAGTCCCCCAGGGACGTGAGCTCAGTCCTCTTCAATCTGCTGATAAATGATTGCTCTGTCTAATTCAGCTCAAACCTTTGCAAGCTGTTTACTGATGGGTCTCACTAGAGCTGTAGTGAGGCGTCGATGGCTCGATTCTAAAAATTCGTCGACGTCAGATCCGGTAGTCGACGCACCACGCCCACTTGTCCCCAGTAGTTTGTAAATAGAGGTGGAATCTGCCTGTTTTACCTCTAGTTCGCCCTCTTCTCTGCCTTCACTAACATCTCCGCCAAATACCGAAGAACCGGAACAATGTCCGTCCGCTACTAGATTCCTTTCCTGTTTTGCCCGCCTTCGTCTCCCGGCAACGGACAACAACTTCCGGGGTCAGATAAGCTGCTCCGTCTCTATCGCAGATGTAGAAAATCACCGGGAGCGTTTCTCCCTTCATTAAGGAGCTTCTTTCAGACATTAGAACAGCTGTTTTGGTGGTAGCAGTCTCCCCTCTGTGCTGGTCTGTATTTAAACTTGGTAACTTTAACTTAACGTTGGTAAAGCTACTGTTAGCATTTTTGCTAACAGCTTCTTGCGTTTGGATAAGCTGTTATGTTTTGGTTTAGAGGTCATCTTTTTTGTGGTGTAGATCTCCCTTTTATTACATTTAGAGTGTTGTGGGTTTTCGGTTTAGTTAAAAATATCACCTTGAGTTTGGTTTAACCGCCCAGTTTAGAGTTTGGACCTTTGGAGATCTTTATTTTGGTCCAGAACCCAGTAATCTTTGCCCAGTGGGACATCCCAGGTTATTTGTACTTTTGTTTTAATTCCCCACAGGCAGAATTAGTTTTATTATTCCCAACCTGTGGATGGAAATATTTTTGTTTTTTTGTTGTTGTAAATAAACCTGATCATCATTTAAACTTTTAAATCCCGTGTTGTTGTCTCTTCCTTTTTGCACACGAGCCAAACTCCCCAGGAAGGGTCGTAACGCCACTCGCCTCACGCTCATAAGGGACCAAAACAAAGCAGCATGGAGACACTCCGTCTCCAGCCACCTCTCAGGCAGCAGCCTGCACTCCCAAGTTCTACACGTCACCAGAACATAACCAACCAACACAATAAAAGCAGTGTTATACAAAATGGAAGGCCTGTAGTGTTTATTCTCTTACAGTAACAATTTATCAATTTTTTTGAGGAATTTATTTTAGATTTTCTTGTTTTTCTTAATTGTGCAATAAAAAATAATCACTTGATTAATTGTCTAAATAGTCATTAGAATAGTCGACTATTCGATAAAATAATCCTCAGAATAATCGTTTCAAAAATAATCGTTTACCCCCAGCCCTAGGTCTCACCCCCACTGCTTTAACATCATCACTGCTTATAAACCATCTTAAAATTATTTGTTTGAACTGTGAAACGGCTACTGTTGGCCAACAAACAGAACCGTCTTTATGTGGAGTATTCTAACAAGTAGTAAGATATTTTAATATTGCAACTGCAATATCCTGTAGCTAACAGGAATATCTGAGAGAGACCTTAGGGTTTCACTCCCCTCCTTTTAAATGGTAAAAAAAGAAGGGAAAAAAGCACCTTTTTTCACCTCATTAATTGTCAGCTCTATTTAAGTAGTGTGACCAAAGTTTTTACTCTCAAATACCAGCTGTCTATTATGTTGGGATTATTATCTAACGCTTGCCATCCTCCTTTTTCCTACTTGTTTAAAGCATCTCTAACTCACAATAAATCCTCAGCTGTGTTCTTCAACAACTAGCTTCTTATGTTTGTGCGTGTGGGTGGCATGCATCGTCCATCTGGCATCTTTGGCTATATTTTGAGTCATTATCTCAGTTTTACTTTTGATAGTTCTGCTCTGGCTCAGCAGGGATCTTTAGTTGGTGGACAGTGTTGTTATTTAGACAGAAATGAGGCTCACAGGAATTATTAGCTGTAGGTAAAATATTAGCGTTATGAATGCTTTAAACTTTTTATTTTTTAATATTACATAATCAAGAAACGTGTGATTTGTTAAATTTTGATTTTTATTTTAAGTGATATTTGCTGGCAAGATGCAGGACTCTGCACAGAAAAATGTTTTCAGTCAGTTTATTGTTTCATTTTCTGCATGAGTAGTTGATCACTTGCCTCTGGCCGTGTGTAACAACATCTGAACTGTGTTTTCTTTCCTCATTGAAACAGTTTTTGTCCTCTTTGTTGTGTCTTTCAGCTCCAGAGCCTCAGCCACAATGTGATCTTCACCCTAGATTCGCTGCTTAAGGGGGATTTGAAAGGCGTGAAAGGGGTAAGATTTACTGTTTCTCGCCCGTCTCTGGACTCTTCTGAGCTCACGTGCACCGTCAGCATGTTTCTGACCATCCAAACGTCTGTGTCTGTGATTAAGAGGGCTAAAAACGACTGGGGGGAATCCAGAGGAGAATTCTCCTTCTGAACTGTAAATCTCCCCGGGGTAAACACTGCTTTTGAGTGGCGCTCGAGGCGAGTAACTGGGTCATGAACTCGTAATGTCGGAGGTACAACAAGGGGCGTGGCCGCTGACTGGGCATTCAGGCTCGGATTCACAAGGAGAATAAGGCAGTTTCTGGGCCTTGAGTAGTGATCCAACTCTGCAAATATCTCTGTCCTCAAACTGACCCCTTTGTAGTTTTGCTGATTCTTGTTCCTCTGTGTGTCTGCAGGACATAAAGAAGCCCTTTGACAAAGCGTGGAAGGACTACGAGGCCAAGTTGTAAGTGGAGGATAATAGACTTGCACTTGCTGGCTCATCAGATTTTGTTTTAAACATCCTAAAAGTTACAGCTTTCAACGCAATAATTAAGTGTATAATAAACTGTTCCTGTTATTTTTCTGCATCAGTACAAAGATAGAGAAGGAGAAGCGAGAGCACGCCAAGCAGCACGGGATGATCCGCACCGAGATCACTGGGGCCGAGATCGCTGAGGAGATGGAGAAGGAACGACGCTTGTTTCAGCTCCAGATGTGTGAGGTGAGTACGTTTCCACCCGACTTTAATGTTCTCTCGTCTGAAGACATTCTGTGGTTTGGGAGCTGTGATTTATTTATATATTTAATTTTTATGGTAATTCTTCTAAATCCGTTTCCACGTCGCCTGCTTCCTGTTAGCTTTAGCTGCGTGGATTTTTGGGACACATTGGAGGCATATTTATGTTTATCAGTACAAAGTGGACATGTAAAGGCTCATCAGCTCATCCAGATGTGGATCAGATGCTAATGCCAGATGTAAAGCAAGCCACGTTTTGTTTCTGACTAAAGCAAAAATACTTTCATGACCATCGGGATTTTTGAGCTACATGTCAGATATCCCCTTCCTTCTGTAAAGGCTGAAGTTTAAGAAGACGGTGAGCATTAAGTGTAAAACTAATGCGATCTCTGTGCGCGCCCAAAATCAGAACAAACAGCTCACTCTGCCTTGCCAAACTCCTCTCTGGTGGTGGGCGGCGCTGCCTACGCCTCGCTCACTGTTTCATCCTTGTAGGATTTTCCTTTTTTCTCAAATGACACAATGGCGGGTGAATTGCTTCTAGTTTTCTGGATTAATCACAAGAAAACTCGCGGCAGTTCTTTTGTACGCTGATCGGCCAGATTCTCATAGTGACTCAAACATTGTGTTGCCCACATTTCCCACCTGTGTCAAGACTTTCAGCGCTTAAATGCTGTCAGACTTCTTTTCTATTAATGTTTTATGTCTCCAAACCTGAAACAAGGGGAGAGAATTCTAGTTATGTTAGTATTTTGTGTGGCTAAGAGGGAATCTTTACCTCTGAGGCAACTAGTATCTATCTTGGCTGTGGCTGCTGGTGACCAGTTGCAAACAGCTTTCATGAGAAAGTTTCCAAAAATGTCTTAAAAATTTAGCATTTGCATGGTTTGTTTGTTCGTTCTTTTATCCGACTCGTAAGGGTTGCAGCCCCAGGAGAAAGACTCAAACCGCCTTTTCTCCGGGAACATTCACCTTCTCCATTGGTGAGATCCCAAGGCGATATAACCAATCAAGCGTGTTCTGGGTTGAGCCGCCGGGCCTCCTGGTGGCATGACAGGCTAGAAAACATCCCCTTCGAGGCGTCCAGGTGGCATTTGAACAAATGTCCAAACCACCTCAGCTGGCTCCTTTGGAAGTGAAGGAACAGCTGCTCTACTTTGAGTCTGCTGGATTTACGAACTCCTCACCCTAACTCTAAGGATGCGTCCAGCCACTCTGTGGAGGGAACCCATTAAAGCTACAATCCAGAGTTTTCCCTCTTCCAGGAATTGTGTATGATTTTTTAAAAGGAATTCATAAAAGTGATAGTCTGACCCTGTACTATAATATAGGTACATCCTTTTTTTGCTAAGCTCGTCCCCTTGTCTCTATCACCATGCAATTTGAATTGACCATCGCTCAGCATTAGCCAATAGCATTTGACATCCGTTTACTCACAGATGCTACAGACAATTACATTGCAATGTCAGCCTCTAGATGGTGCAGCGTGATAAAAAAAACTCCAGATTTCTTCTTTAAAGAGCAAGTCACCCCAAAATTAACTTGGTTTTGCTGGTAAACTATGTATATAAATGAGTGTCTAATCGTACTGAAGACAAGTGTAGTCAATAATTTGGCACTTTAGTCCATCTTAATTCAAATTTAAATGTTCTACCAGAGTAACGCCCCCTTCAGGTAAAAACCTTACACTACATTTGAATTTAAATCTACCATCGCAATTGACTAAGTCAATACCCTACCTACCCAATGATGTTAGCTGGTACCATATGATGTCACAATGCCGCTGTGAGCCTCTGTGTGTGTGTGTATTTGTTGGTGGCTCTGCCCTCTTGATCTGTCAGGCAATGCCTCCTTGCTCTTTAAGGCCACTTGTATTCGCGATCTTGTTCAGTTTTCATTAGCAAGGGCTCTCAGTTCCCTCGGGTGTGCCACAGGGCCTCGCTTTTGAGTCACTAGAATTTAAAAAAAATGTTCAAAATTTTGAGTGACAAATTTCCTCTCAAAATCATGTGATTTGTCACAGAATATTTCTAATGGCCCCTTTTCACTATCACCTACTCAGTGCAGCCAGAATCAGAGCAGTTCCAAAGCTTTCCCACTAGTAACAAGTCTGTGTTTGTTGCCTCTTTGATGTGGTTTCAAGTGTACCAAACCAGGCTGAAAAAGACGCGTCAGAAGACTGTCGGTCACTGATTACCGACCTACAGTTTTAGGCCTAACCCTTTTGAGCCCATTAGCTTAATCAAATTTAGGATAAACTCTCCCATTTGTAACAAGTACAAAGTAAATAAATAAATAAATAAATTCACTAGTTAGGATTTGAATTCATCTTCAATATATTTGTCTTGTTGCTTCTTGGTTTGTGTGTTCAGTCTCTGTTGATAATTATCACGTGAAAGTTGGATTAACCCTATTTAAAATGCTCTAAGTTAACAAAAGTATTTATTTTGTGGTTGAAAAGTTACAATTTTTTAAGGTTTCAGCTGTTATGAACACAACGTTTTAGGTTAGAGGGTTGAGATGCAGCATTTTTAGAAGCATATATGTATTATATGTACATCTTTCTCTGTAAGAAGCTTTGCTTTTGAGTAAATGATGCTGTGAGATTAGACGTCTGATGCGCCTTTGTTCTCATAAGAAATTACATATTTCTCTATAATTTGCTTTTGAAGGAGTCCAACTTTTTTCATAGTTTCCAATAGAAAAGCTCTGAATAAATAGTCCAAAATGTATGAAGCAGTTCTAAAAACTGATTTATTTTTGCATAATTTCAGAGTCGAACCCATCGTTTTCTCAGCCCCGTTACCAGAAACGAGTTTGAGATCACACAACGCATTAACGCCAGCTTCCCGTCCAGGAATTCGGATTTCTAAACTTGCACTCTAGGGTTTGAATCAATGCACGAGTGTTTTTGACACTTAGTTTCTCACTTTTCTAATTGGGCTTTAAGGATTTTTAATATGTACCATCTAAAAATAAAACATTTCCAAAGGTGGGAACAGAAGTTGGCTGTTTCTGTGTATACGGTATATGAATATTAAGCTATCATGTCAATTGCTTCAGGTCATTAGGTTCGCTGCATTTATTAGAGGTTTTACAGAATTTTTGTAAGAATAACGCTGCACATTTTACTCATGCTGCATCCTCCTAATATCTCAGGTTATCTCTGCTTAAATAGCATTAATATTATTAATAAATACATATTTAGAGCCACATAATTATCTTTTAACCCCACAGCTTATTGAAACATGCTTTCAACTATATATACTATAAAAACAATTATAAAAATATGGAGAAGTGTGATCAAAAAGTTGCAAATTTTTGTCTTGCATCAGTAGTACAATATTACATTTTCTATTTTGACAATATTTTTACCACGCATTAAATATGGACTTTTATTGCATTTAAATAATCTAAAATAACTTTTTCTTGGTGTGGAAGTTATTATTTATATTATGACAAATATCCTACTTATTGAGATTTACATCCTCCTTCAATCTGTCCCTTTTTTCTTAAATGTGACCTACTTTTGTGTCATTTAGTGGAAAATGTCTGTGATTTATTCTTTTCATCCTCTGCCAGTGAAGAGAGGATGCAGAGAAGGATGAAAAACACCAGGCATTTCCTAAATCTACAGTCATAAATGATGAAAGTCTCAGTGCTGCTGCTGCTGCTGCTGCTGCTGTGTGTGTGTGTGTGTGTGTGTGTGTGTGTGTGTGTGTGTGTGTGTGTGTGTGTGTGTGTGTGTGTGTGTTGCATCAGTTGTACAATCTGCTCATCCCACTTAACCTCGTTTCTCTCCGTTGCATGCTCTCTGGCTCTCTCACACTCCCCCCTTGTTACTCAGTCACCAGATTACACGACGCTCTCACTCTCTCACACATTTTTTCCTGCATCCCACGCCGCCGTCAGCGGAGGAGGAGTGTGGAAAGGCAGGGCTCAGCGGGCTGCATTCTGCTCTGCAGCAGAGTGAATGTCGCTGCTCATTCACACAAAAGAGCTCGTATGCTTGCAGCGGCGGCGGTGCTCTCCCACTCCAGCTTTAGACAAAATGTGGATAATCCTCAGTCCGACGAGCTCTTTCAGGCAGACAAAGGGACACGGCACGCATGCATGCACACATATGACACATGTACTGGTGTGTTTGTTAACCCGCGTTTGTCCACAAACTGTTTTTGCCTTCAGAGAAAACTGTGGGGTTAAATTTGGTCTCTAGCTAAGCTTTGTGAGTCAGTGTGGATTGGCTTGCTGTAGGATTAGCAGAAGATAATCTTTTATTTGTCTGTTTGGTGCAGTCTGATGACGTTTGTCTGGGATCTTCAGACTCCCAGACGGAGAAGCTTCTTCTTTGAGGGATCTCCTCTTATGATGCTAATAATTCCAGTCTCTCTCTTTGGAAATTCACTCAGATCAAAGCAGAAGGATGCAAGTTTCATAGTATTTACTCAGCTGTTCTGCTCAGACAGCATCGGCATCAAAGCCGACGTGAGTCACACGTGCGGTTATCATTCTGCAGAATGCTCGTATTACGAGCCGCTTCTGCCTGCTTATATCTCATTAAAACCAAGAAAAATCCCTTTAGCGCCCCACAAATTTCGACTCATGTCTGAACTCTGCTCCTCTCTTCTGCTTGCAGTACCTGATCAAAGTAAATGAGATCAAGACCAAGAAAGGAGTGGACCTCCTGCAGAACCTGATTAAGTATTACCACGCACAGTGCAAGTAAGTACCACCATAATCCCGCCCCCCCAATCCAAATGTGCAACGCTCCCCTGCTGTGTGCATCACACTCACTAAGAAAATATTTCTGAACAGAAAACAAGTTGCCTCCTCTTCTCGCCTCTCTTTTGCACCACTTGATGACATTTTCTTCCCAGATGATTCACAGATCTGGAGGGCGGTTCGGGTGCACCGCTCCCATAAATCTACTCAGGTCATCATAGAGATAGGCTCTGACAGCCGTGGGGTTTGGTGGGTAAATAAAGTGGGTGCTCTCCTCGCCAGAGCTGCAGCTGTGACAGAATGACAGATTTTCTTCCAGCGTTGCTACGTCCTGTCATAACACCGGGACAAAACAATACACTGCACCGCTAATCTGTTCAACCTGGGCCTTGACGGATAGAAAGGCTGCAGCGGTGATGGATTAGAGGCATTAGGGCACCGGATGGAGAGCTGCTGAGGAATAAGTACGACTCCCAAAAGAGGAGAAACACGTTCATGATGACGAGATTGCAGATGCAGAACGTTATCGTGTGTTTGCTATTACTGCTGATTGGATGTTTTCTGTACATCGAATGCGATGATTGTAATGTAGTAACTGGCTTTTATGTACTAATGTGGACTATATGTTCACTCCAAATCATCTCTGCAGTTACAGGTACAGGTATAGGTACAGGGTGGGCGTTTTTAGCCCGTCTTTTGGGGTGCTGCAGCACCTCTAAATCAACTCCCAGCACCCCTGAAATTAGAGAATTTAAAACTTTGTTTTTTAAAGACACTTATATAGCGTTTCAACCAAGCACTGTATGCTTTTTATATTTTACATTTCAACAACATAAATGCAGCAAACCTCCCCCGCCTCAAAGTGGTTCGATCCTGCTCACCTTTGCCCTCAGTCGGGCTCCGAGCCTCCTTCCTGTGTGGCTGATATGAAGTAATTAAGGGAGACCAGACTACCCGTAAATTTAAACACTGTCCCGCACTGCTGACAGTTTTCCGTTTCATGTTTAAATCTTACATAAACTGATTGTGAGGAAAAAGCAGTGGCTGTCAATCCAGCAAGGAGGCGTAACTGTAGGTGTGGAGTGCGCCACGCACGAACCACCAGAAAGAAAGGTAAGACAGATGAGCGCGTAGGAGAAAACGCTCTTTCATAAAGACTGAAGGCCTTCACTCGTGGGTTAAAGCTTTTCAGCGTTACTCTGACAGTCTGTATGATCTTTCTCAGTCAATGTTCCCAGTCTAAAATGTTGATCCAAAGCAGGTTTCCCAGTAACTAGACCGGTTCATCATGCTGAAGCCCAAATAAGATTGGAACATAGAAATGGTGCTGGGGCTGTGTTGTTTCAGATGCATGCAAATCAAACCCCTTTTAAAGCACATTAAAGAACAGCTTTTTTGGTTTTATTTTGTATTCTGAGAAAACTGTCAGAACTCCAACATTACATCTGACTTTTTTCAGAGATTAGTGATCAGGTCAGTGATCTCTTTTTGCCCTCTCCCTAAAAGTCTGCTAGATGAGATTTGGTGACATTTTGGAAAAAACATAATTTGGTTGTAAAGTTAAGGAGAAAAAGACTTTTGCAAAAAGAGAGTGGATATACTTTCAGTGGGGTGTTGATATTAGTGGAAAATTAAGTAAAAATACACATGAATAAAATCCTAAATATGTGTGGTACTTTTAGTGACCATTCCAACCAATGTGCACTCACTGAGCATCTTTAATCTGCTCTTATTATAAAACTGCAACAACCTGGACACATCAAACCTGGACGGGCTCATGTCCCACTAAAGGCAGAGTCCTTCAAACATAGTTTGTGATTTGTGAAAGTTTAAAATCATTTTATTTGTTTAGGCCTGTTTGTTTTGCATCTGGGCCACATATGGGCCATTCCCATCTGTACCGGGTCGGCCCGGGCCGGGTAGCCCCAGTCGGCTCCAGCCTGGCCCGGCTGATTCCACACATCCTTGCCTTAAGCCCATGTGGGCTGATTCTACCCACCAATCAGAGGCTTGCTCTAATGGAAGGTGTGAATTTGCTGTCAGCAGTGGGTGTGTTGGCCCTGGTCTGCCTGAAGCAGACCCCCTCGAGAAGAGGGCTGAGAATGAGCCTTGGTTGGCCCGGAAAAATACCAGGCCACCCAGATATGTAAACAACCTACGCACCCGGCCCGGGCCGACCCGGTACAGATGGGAATGGCCCAATAGAAACACCTAGACCAGTATCACCAACTCCCTTCCTCGAGGGCTGGTTCCCAGCATGTTTTAGTTGCTTCCCTAATCCAACACGCTTTATTCACCTGTTCAGCAGCTCATCAAGCTCTAAAGAGCCCTGCTAATCACCTGCTGATTGAAATCAGGTGTGTTGAAGTAGGGGAAACGGTAAAACATGCTGATGCTGGCCCTCGGGGAAAAAAGTTGGGGATCACTGACCTAGAGCCTGTGAACCTGGACTAGACTTATTTTAACAGCAGAATCTGTAAAGTTTGAGATTTTTGAAACCTTTCTTTGATTTGTGGAAGAGAGTGTTTTGCTTTCATTTTACAAAGGTGGCAATGAAATTGTGTTAAAATGTACAAAACTGAAACTAATCTTTCCTGGACGGGCAGCTCTCTGGGTGCTCAGCACCCCTAAACCTCTGATGCTTGAGTCGCCCCTCCCTCTCAGGCTTTTTCTGGCCAATAAAGCCATTAAGAGTAAAGTTAGAATATCAGACAGAATAATACTGTAGCCAGAAAACAGTTTCATTTGTGATTGCAGCTTTTATTCGTGCAAATAATTTAGTTTTTTATAGTTTATTTATTTATTCTACTACAAAACCAGCAAACCAACACTCAGTTTCAGTTATGACCCTCATATGCTGTGGTGCATGTCCAGCTATGGCTCTCCAGAGTTTTGTTTCTGAGCTTCGAACTCCTTGGAAAAAAACACAGAGCTTCTGCAGCAGCTTTTCTCTGATTTATTAAGTGCTCTTTGGTCCACTTAAAGTAACACTAAACTGTTTCCTGCTCCTCTACCCTGCTGGTTGAAAGTGGAATTACAACTATAGCAAACAACCCTGCAGCAGCCTGCTGTAGCTAGCGCTAGCAACAAGATAACACTAAGCCAACTAATACTAAAATAAACCGTAAAATAAGAAGATTCACACTGTTGGACAGAAAATATTACTACTTACGTCCAGTAGCAACACAGCCAGATCACCATCAGTCCGTGATTTTGTTGCCTGCTTTAGCTCGCTCAAGTGAAGGGGCCTGTGCTGATGCTCACTCTGGTTTTAGCTCTTTGCTTTGCCTTCAAAGACATTACTCTCTTACTTTTACTTCCATGCTCGGCCATGATACCAACGAAAAAGCTTTTTATTGACGGCTAGTCTTTCTATAAGCTTCCAGCACTGTAAACAGCTAACAGTCATTAAGCAGGTAAAGAGCTCCCCCTAGGGCGCCTACCTGTCCCGTTTCTGGTCAGCAGAGGGTTGCAGAGTGCTGGCCAAGGTGAACTTGGTCAAGTTCCTACCCACACAATCACTGAAACCCACTTTTTATCAAATAGCTTAAAGTGGTGAAAACTGTTTAGTGTTACTTTAACACCTCATCTCTGCTACCTGCAATGTCCTAAACATGTGATCTCTAGACATTTAGCCTGCTGGTCATCAGAGTGTTTATTTTTGATGGTTTTCATTCACAATAAACAATTATATAAGGAAGGATACTGGGTAAAGTGAGCAAAGGTCATAATAAACAACCTAGAGCTGCCTGATAGGCCTTTGATGCTCTTGTTTTGTGCTTGTTTTTGGCCCGTGGGAAGAAAATCAGAGCACCAAGAGAAAACCCACCTGTGTGAGAAAACATGCAGTTTGCGTAGTTTGCAGCTGAGGTCCAAACCTTCATGTAGTGAGGCAACAGCTCTAACAACTATGGCTCATGCAGTCAAACCTGCATCCTTCAGTTGAATTATTTTTTTGGAGGCTACCGTCTCACTGGAGCACGACCCAGACCTCATTTTGATTTTTACGTTGAACCATTCTTGTCTGGATCTGAGCGAGTCGTCCGTTGAATTCACTGACTGTGCAAATGTTTTTTTTTATTGTTGCATGAGTTAGAATTCAAGGGAGGTGAACTCTTGTCTGCAAGTGCATTAAAGAGACTCTTATTGTGACAGTCTGCAAGCTAAGCAGTGCTCGACAAGCAACGCCGGGTGAAGTGGGAGGAGAGATCTGGCATCATCAATGTGGTGATTGAGAGAAAACGAGCTGAACACGATGTGGCGGGGGAAGTAATGAGAAGAGGAAGGGAGATGTTCGTTCCAAGAAGGAAAAAGAAGGAGGGGATGGTTAGTGTTGATTTGCTGCTGCAGAGCTTCATCGAGGTGCATAACGCTGACAGATCCGTAATGGATTTCAGGATGTGCTAAACGCCTCTGCAAATCTGCCAAAGAGTGGGCCAGATCAGATTTCAATCCCTAAAGCCAAAGGTGCCAAAGTGCGAGAACGAGCGGAGCTGTAGATTAAACACGAACTGACCCCCCTTTCTGTCTGTGTTCGACCTTTAGAAAGGCCAACAGGAGATCACATTGTAGCACGTGACATTTCTCAAATGGAATACTTCCCATAAAAGGCTGATGTGTGTTTGGACGGTGTAATTCACACGCTGCATGTCTCTGTCCTCCAGTTTCTTCCAAGATGGCTTGAAGACAGCAGATAAGCTGAAACAGTACATTGAGAAGCTGGCAGCGGATCTTTACAATGTAAATACTCTCATCTCTTACACACCTTTATTAGACACCCTACCTCCTCTTTTAAGCATCTGCAAAGCTTTGTGAGGCTTTTCTACTCTTTAAATTGATAAATAAGTTTCTCTTCATATAAATTATTTACATAATAGATTAATAAGTCTCCAATCAAAGAATGCACACAGAAACTAGCAGTGTTGTTTGTGGTGCTAGTTTAGCGTTTGATTCATAAACTTAGTGTAGAAATGTGAAGAAAACAGTTTGGATTTGTTTTTTCCTTAATGTTGTTTAACTAAAATGTATACGTGTAATGGTTTACGCTGTCTTTTATGCAATAGTTTTTTAACAAAGCTAATCTTTCGTTGATAACTGTTTTGATCAAATCTTGAAAATAACTATGCACAATCTCAAGTTATACTGCAACATCCCACACCGTTTGCTATAAACACCCCATATTTCTGCTCAATAGCTGTAAAAATGGCCGGGGTCAGCCTGTATTGTGTTTGGGAATTCAGATCACTGTGGCAGCCATCTTGGATTGGGTTAGTTTTAGATCCTGCGATTCATTTCTGGGAGGTTCACTCAGATTCACCCAGGGGGTTGTGTGATGTTTAGCTGACCCTACAGACTAAAAACCACACTTTCATTTCACCTTTTGTCGGCGGGTGATCATATGTCCCCAGCTACCAATCTATCAGCCTTTCTCAACCAACAACCACCTCTGTTCAGCGTTGCTTCTTCTTTCCACAGATAAAACAAACTCAGGATGAGGAAAAGAAGCAGCTTACTGCTTTGCGTGATTTGATCAAGTCCTCGCTCCAGCTGGACCAGAAAGAGGTATGAGACACATTAAGCTAAATTTAAACCAAACGTTTGCCAATAACTAAGCAGCACTGGTCTAGAAACAGCCAGGAGAGCTCCGATTCAGTCTGGTCATTACCGCGTTGGAGCTCGTCTCCTGCAGCACAGAGCGAGTGCCCAGTGCTGTACCATGCTGGTAGCCAGTGTGTGGTCGGCCTTGCTGGTGACCAGTGTTGTGCCTCACTGGCTGCTCAGTGGAAAGCCACTCACTGCCCAACTCTCACACTCTCACGTTTAGATCAGAACTAATCTTATTTAGCAGCATGGGCTCCTTCTGCTCTCTCACTTCACACACAAGCACTTAAATGTGTCTTTATGGTCAGTTAATTGTTTTTGTTTAGTGACTTATAAAAGTAGTCACATCTGATTTTGGACGACACACGAGCACACGACACACTTCTTCACACCCACCTCCTGCACCTGAGCCAGATCTTTCACACCTCTCCCCTCTATCTCCTCCTTTCTGCCTTCTGCTTGTCTGGAATCAAGTCTAGAAGAGTAAGTGCAGCTGCATGTTGAGCATGCTGTGGTTGACAGTCGCGTGCTTTGACTCCGTAGGGGTGTTGCAGAGCATGCCCTGTGCATAACGTTGTTGTTCCTCGTAGTACTTTTATTGATTTCTATAAGAGCCTCTTCACCTTGGTGTTAGCATAGATACAATTGTAGAGTGTATGTGTCATTCTTGCATGTTATAACTAGCTCCCTTTACAAAAAAGTTCATTTTTGTTAAACGTCTGAATTGTCTGGCCTTTCACAGGACTCGCAGAGTAAACAAGGTGGCTACAGCATGCACCAGCTTCAGGGAAACAAGGAGTTTGGCAGTGAGAAGAAAGGCTACTTGTCAAAGAAAAGCGATGGGTAAGCAGAAGAACAAAACAATGGATTCAACAGTTGTTCTGCAGGTGAACGGAATTGGAGGCTATTTAGCACAAGCTTGACCAGTTCAACAAAGTACCAGTAATACTCGGAGGAAAAAAAGAGTTTGTTGTGCTTTGGAGTTTACCGTCAGTGTTGAGATTTAAAATGAAATGTTGAGAACAAAGTAAAAATATTATATACAAAAGAATGTTCACCTGTGAAGATTACAGTCCGAAGTCCAGAATAAAGTCAAAATGCTGAAGTTGAAGGTGAAATGAGGATATTAAAGGAGAATTGTCAAGGTTGTAGTCAACATGTTGAGGTTGTAGTCCACTATTTAAAATGTAGTCGACAGGTTTTCCAGATGTGATTAATGTATTTTTAGTTTTAGTCAACATGCTGAGGTTGAAGTCATATTTTTGGTTGAAGTCAGAATGTTTTCAGTTTTAGATGACATGTTGAGATTGAGGTTGCATTCGACTTGTCATGGTTGCAGTCCGTATGGTGAGGTTGCAGTCGGTTTAGTAAGGTTTCAGTTGAAATGTTAGAATCACAAAATAATTTTTTTAAGTTTTTCCCAGAACTTTTTCTCTCTTATCAGAAAGTATTTTATAGACCGTTTCCATATGACTGTATTCTGGACATGATTTCTATATTCTTGTTTATCTTGTTCTCAACTTTTAACTTTAAACTCAAAGCTTAGCATGAAAACATTTTCTGGTTTCTAATCGTTTTCCCTCCTGATTTACCCTAATTTGCTGTCACAGACCAGCGTCCAGCACAGGAAATAAATCACATTTTTGGTCATTTACATAAAAATGACACAAACAAGCAGGTAGTTGTCTAAAACAAAAGGAAGTTGTCAACATGAACAACAGTTGTCAACAGTTTTGTTATGAATAAAACTCATAGTGAAATTTTATACTGTGCTTTATTTTATACAAACACAGTTTGCAGTATCAAAGGCCTCCAAAAGACAGGTTTAATAAGAAAGATTTTTTTCTTGGTTTCTATTACAGTTTTTGGAGACATTAGAATCAGAAAATCAGACATTGGAATTAAAAAGTGTTAAAACAAATGCTCGTGTGATGACGGTAATAAAATCATAGTAGCTTTAACATTTATAAGGCAGGCAGAAAAGAGGTGACGCGACAGCATCTTGTTAATGTGTGGGGCATCCTCTCACAGGCTGAGGAAGGTGTGGCAGAGGAGACAGTGCTCTGTGAAGGGAGGCATCCTCACCATCTCTCACGCAACAGTGAGTACACGACCAGCACCGACACACACACGCACACACACGCACACACACACATGCACCGACACACATGCACTGACACACGCACGCACACACACACACACACACACGCACGCACGCACGCACGCACGCACACACATACACATGTGAACCCACCCAATACCCTCAGGAGTGACTGTATGGATCAAAGAGGGGGAATATTGTGCAGGGAGGATGTGCCGGGCTTTTCCAATCTGGAGGCTGGCAAGAGTTGGATTGACATAGATGGGTTGCCATGGTAACTCCCCCCTCCTCTTCCATGTGCCCCATCTCAGTCCCTCCCCCTCTGCTGCCTGCTGCACCGCGGTGACTCATCTCTTATAGTGTGTGTGTGTGTGTGTGTGTACTGTATAAGCTGGCACATCACCGTTGTTCTTTGTGCAGAAGATGTAGCACAGGATGATCCTATTTTTGATGCTGCATTCCTGTGTGTTAATTATAATATTACATTACATTGTGATATATTATGTTCTATTTAAACGTTTCAAAGAGAGCAGCTGGTCTGGTGGAAAAATATGTGAATCCAAACGGTGACATCATGTACTTAAAAAATGAGGTCAAAAGGGAATTTTATAGGTTTAGAAAAACCAAAGTAATTAATCAAATAAATTGTAGGCCAACAGAGTTCCAGCAGCGAAACATTAATAACTGTCTATATTTGATAAAGCTTAGGCATTTATTTGTTATTAATGCACAAGAAGGGAGGGAATATAAATTCAGTTTAAGCTGAGTAATAAGTAAGTAAATGAGTCACACTATCACATGGAAATATCTGTTTTTCCTGGGTTCTTGAATTGTAAGAGTTTTCCTTAATAATGACTCGAATATTTCATTCATTAAAACAATTGAGATTTAACAGCCTAACATATTTTACTAAATAATCTTAAAGCTGCAATAGCAAATCTGCAAAACAAGCCAGCTTTGAAACACAAACTCTCACTCCTCCTGTTGGCTATCATCCCTAGGCCACGCCCCCCAGATATGGATACGTGCATTGCCACTGGAAACCAGATAGCGCTAAACACCAGTCGCTGTTTTCTAGGTCCAGACGTTGTTTGTTGTCCGTGGCATCAAACGGTGTTTTTCTTTTTGGACTCCGGTGGTTTGTCCTAAAGTTGAAGTGGTAGCAGCTGGCTGTTTCTCCTCCTCTGATGTTATTGAGCCGAGAACCTCTCACACCAGTGGTGTTGAGCGTCAGGATCGGAGGACCCAGGCAAATGCGAAAGTGCAGCGGTTTGGTGAGACAGACAGTCGGATGGATAAAACGTTGGTTTGGGCATGACCCATGTTACTCATGAGGCACAGGAGATAAGTGCTCGCCTCGTAATCAGAAGGTTGCAGGTTTGAGCCCCACTCAGTCGGTTGCTGTTGTTGTGCCCTGGGGCAAGACACTTAACCCACCTTGCCATATCATGTTGCCATATTGTTGTTAAGATGTGAACATTCACATAGCTGCTGCCCCACATATCCTTCCTGTGAGCCACAAGTAGATCAGAGGAAGCGGTTACCGTAGAAATACATGAAGAAAGGGTTTTGAGCAGTGAGGGGGGCTAAATCTTTGACCTATAAGTCTCTCCATGGGCTTTGCTTTGGTGCTAATCATGTTGGAGCTTATAATTCCTCTCAGTGAGGGAGCGGTTCGCCACCTCTCTGCTTCTTTAGCGTTGGTGGCAGCTGAACTCTCGGTGACATTCGTTGACATGGCATGTTGCCAGCAGGCCAGCCAGGCCTCATGTTGGCTCGTCAGCATTTCGTTAGCATGTGCGCTATTCCCTCCTCTGCCCAGACGCTGGCAGGAGACAAAGCTGTGTGTGAACGTGCCAAACAGGTCGATTATTACAGTACAACAAAGTCCAGATTCCTGATGGGTCGTGTGTGTGCGATGCTTTCGTAGCCTAGTTTGTCGAAGCTTTGCTAAATAACTAGAACAGGAGTTGATGCATTTATCAGCAGTAATTATGCAAATCTTTTATCAGGCAGAAATACCATCTGGTGGCTCTGGCTTCTCATATGGGATCATTTCCATTATTCATCCAACTGACTGATACAAACATCCAAACTGAATAAACCCCAAATGTATCAGCATCATCTGGTCCTTGTCGTTAAATGTAGAGGTGACCTGTTTTAAGTTATTCAAACTTTGAATGTCTTTGATGTGGGCCTTTCATGCTGCCTCCTTTACTGAACATTTGTCTGGCATAAGCGGTTTTATCTCTCCTCTCTCTAAAAGCCCACTCACGTCTAATTTACAGGCTTCCAGAGAGGCTGCTGAGAGGCAGAACTCATATCTTGTTAGCTGCACCACCAGTACTTCGCGCTGAGCTATTCCCCCGGTAGATAATCAGATAAGGGCATCCTTTACCATCAGTAGGAAAGTAGAAAACAATCTAGTTGTAGAAATACAAAAAGACACAATCGAAGGCTAATTACTGGAAATATCTAGTTTAGCCTTTACTCTAATGATGCGATACGACCAGAAACAACAACACGCTTAATGAGCTCCTCGGACCTCACAGCTAATTTCACTTTCTGTGACTTTTTTTAGTCCAATCGACAACCGGTGAAACTCAACCTGCTCACCTGCCAGGTGAAGCCCAGTGCCGAGGACAGGAAATGCTTTGATCTAATTTCTCGTAAGTCACACACACACACACACACACACTCACCTGCTTTGTTATAAAATATAAACGTCTCCCTGCTGAGCGTCTCCTGGCCTCTCTACAGATAACCGGACGTATCACTTCCAAGCTGAGGACGAACAAGAGTTTGTGGCGTGAGTATTCCACAGAAAACTTAACGGTCTCATTCGGATCATTTACACATTTAGTTTTGGTGAAACTAGATCTAAGCTCCGCCTTAAGGCTTCAATCTGATCGTTTGTTTTTAAACTTTTTTATTTAATCAGAATGAATCCGTTTAATTCTGATCCTCGTGGGCGGAGACATGTCTGACGTCACGGACGGATGGAAGATTTGTGGTTTGGAGCGAGTCGGGTCGCTGCAGCCTTGTACTATAGTTTCTCACAAACACTTACATGTGCGCACACACACACACACACACACACACACACACACACACACACACACACGTGTAGTTATTTTCCTCTGATGACCTTGATACAAAAAAGTTTCTAACACATACAGATAAACAGATTGTGTGTGTGTGTGTGTGTGTGTGTGTGTGTGTGTGTGTGTGTGTGTGTGTGTGTGTGTGTGTGTGTTACAGCAGCTCATTGTGCTGCACAGTGAGCTGCAGGAGGCCCCTGCTTTAGTGTTTCCTGCCTGTGTGATTGACCACAGTCGTGGGTGGGCGTTCGTGCGTCGATGTTCAACCGGAGATTATTCACTCGTGAGCAGAAGTCAGTCGTCTATAAAATCGCTACTAGAGTTATAATAAAACCTCACATTTCCATGTACCTGAACATCACAGCAGGTGTAGGTCAGTGAGCGATCTGCAGCTGATTAATCATATTCAAAAATCCTTCAGCTGCAGGACAGGAGCTAACCGCTAACAGCTCACCTTATTGTTGCTAAAACAGACTCACAGATCAAGCTATATTCCTTTTACCGTTTCTCACTGATTTATCTGAGGAAACAAGGAAAACCAGGGGAAAAAATTTTTTATAAGGAATTTGTAAACAAACAAAAGGTGAATTCTGAACTCTTGTTTGTTTTGTTGTATATTCAAACATTCTAAAGAATCTCCTTTTCCTCTTTTTCAGATGGATCTCGGTGCTGACCAACAGCAAAGAAGAGGCATTAAACATGGCGTTTCGTGGCGAGCCGAGTAGCGGAGGGGAGGACGGATTAGAGGACTTGACTAAAGCCATCATAGAGGACGTGCTGCGCATGCCGGGCAACGAGGTCTGCTGCGACTGCGGCGCTGCAGGTGTGTGACGCCGCCGCCATCTGCAGGATCTCACCTCAGACCTTTAACTGACCGCAGCCCCTCAGATTCTAGTTACACTTCAATAACCCACACACACACACACACACACACACACACACACACGCCAACCCAAAACCTTGAACAAACAAGTGTGTGAACGTGCATGTGCGCTAAAGCTGTTAGCATTCAGGAATCAGCTCGGGCCTGATCCCCCCTTCTCCTCTCCTCCACATCAGGAAGCCAAGAGTCAGCACTCAGGAGTGTCATAGGCTCACACACACACACACACACACACACACACACACACACACACACACACACGTACTCCACATAAACAGCAGTTTTCTAACCAGCTGATTGGATTATTTTGTGCTGTGTGTGTGTGTGTGTGTGTGTGTGTGTGTGGGGGGGGGGGGGGGGGGGGGGGAGGACAGAAAAACATGTTTCCAGGCTTGAGAAACAACATTGCATCACTCTCCAATTTTGGTTCTTTTTTAAACACAAATAAGGTTTTTCTTTACCTTGCTGAGGTTTCGTTTGCGGCTGCAAACATCCTCAGAGCTGACGCTGGTGGTGGCGTCACTTCCTACTCCGTTCAGAGGACTTTGTCGCCCTCCGCTGCCCACGGATAAACGGAGTAGGAAGTGACGCCACCACCAGCGTCAGCTCTGAGGATGTTTGCAGCCGCAAACGAAACCTCAGCATGGTAAAGAAAAACCTTATTTGTGTTTAAAAAAGAACCAAAAATGGAATTTGAAGACAAACACAGAAAGAACGTACATAAGATATTACATCACTCTGTTGCATAAGTCACACACGCTCCGTCGACCCCTAAAACCTGCCGGGACAGGAGGTCGTATGGTGCTGCTGCATCCTTCAGCATGTTGGGTTTCGGTGGATTAAACACGTTTCAGATAGGCTGTGGTGCTACCAGCCTCCATTTTTAATTTGTTGTTTTTAGAATTAGCTCAACGGTTTTTGACTGCGTTCCTGCCGGCGTGAGAAGAAAGAGGTCGTTGTCTCGTTTGATGTTCTACCAGGAACACACTCTCTTTCTCTCCCTCTCTCAGGAGGTCACAGCGGAGTAATTTGCTCATCATGTTGAACACACTCTTAGTGACCTGTCATCTGCTCACACCTGGCCCTCTTGTAGTTACACTTGTTTGTTTGAGTCCGCAGCCCAGTTTTAGGGCCTAAATCTGACAGATTAGAGCCAGATCCAGCTGTGACGCTGATCAGTCTTTGCATACTTTAAACAGATATTTGTTGTTGTCTGCAGAGCCTAAGTGGCTTTCCACCAACCTGGGAATCCTCACCTGCATCGAATGCTCTGGGATCCACAGAGAGATGGGCGTCCACATTTCTCGCATCCAATCCATGGAGCTGGACAAGTTAGGAACCTCAGAACTCTTGGTGAGTGGAGCCCATCAGTTAAACACGATCAGTTTCTGACGCTCACGTTTGTTTCTTTCTCCTCAGCTGGCCAAGAATGTAGGGAACAGTAGTTTCAATGAGATCATGGAGGCGAACCTCCCCTCTCCTTCACCAAAGCCCAACCCCTGCAGTGATATGTAAGTCCTCCAGAGTTTCACAGCCAAACCACCACCTCCTCATCATCATCATCACATTCCCCCTCTCTGCAGGACGGTGAGGAAGGAGTTCATCAACGCTAAGTATGTGGACCACAAGTATGCGAAGAAGACGTGCATGTCAGCAGCTGCCAAGATGATCGAGCTGTTTGAGGCGGTCCAGTCCCGGGACCTGCTGGCTCTCATTCAGGTCTACGCTGAGGGGGTGGAGCTTATGGAGCCGCTTCCAGAGACGGGGCCGGTGAGTGGGACTGTTTAGAGAAGGTTTCTAAAATCACACCAGATTTATTCATTTTAATTGGAGAGATGATTTTTTCTTTATTTCAATTTTCCTTCAAACAAGATGGACCTCAGTGGAGGTCCTGGTGACGTCTCCACATAGGTGCTCCCTCCTCTCAGTGCTGTTCGACCACATCAGCATATCCTCTGGCAGCGGCTCTCGCCATGTCAGACTTCAAATGAAATGATGTAATTGGCTGCTGCTAACTCATTAAACTACGTGTTGAATTTCTCTCTCTGGAAGGGAAACTCCTGTAAGTGTAAATGCAGCAGGGCAATGGAGGCCTATAAGGACCTATCTGACACCAGAGGAAGCAGCAAATTGATAATCGAGTTCAACACCGGCACATTCACTCCAATTCAACTGTTTTTATGTGTGGCTCCTTGGCGTACTCATCTGCTTTTTATTATTATTGTTTTCTGGCTTTTTGCTGCAGCGCTTCAGGCATGAATGAACATTCAGTAACAAACGGTGGCTGCTGCGTCGTAAACATCACATGATCTGACCTAATCTGACGTAAAGGGGTCGCGGTTTCATAACAGTAACACAGCGGTTCCCTGATTAAAATCGGGATGCTGCGGCAGGAAGATTGAGAGAGGATGCTGTGTGATGACGGAGGAAGCTGCTGCTGGTGTCTGCACTGAGAAGTCTGACTCATCTGGATCTGATCTGCTGCCGTCAGGGACTCAGAGGCTGCAGAAGGACACCCAAACCCTCAAAATGTAGAAGAAACAGAGTCCTTATGTTCACCTTTCAGTCGAGTCAAATCCTCTTTCCGTTTCTGCGCGTTGATAACCAATCTCCTGAAAAACACAAAAAGCTGCATCAACATTGCAGAATTTTTATTTTTAGGAGTCATTTTGTTCACTGCAGTTTGTTTAGTGCTAACACACACACACACACACACACACACACACACACACGCACGCACGCACGCACACACACACACAGAATACAGAAACTGTCCAGCGTCTCACCATGCCTTTGCTGTGTTTTGTCGCCCCCTGCAGGAATCTGGAGAGACAGCACTGCACTACGCCGTACGGACATCCGATCAGACCTCGCTGCATTTGGTGGACTTCCTTGTGCAGAACAGGTACCGACCTCTGTTCAGGAACATCTAAATCCTGTCACGTGTGTATGGACTGGCCTTCTGGTGAGGGAGCTGAAGGAATGTACTCAAACACATGTGATCCTGAAGAAAATCAGGGAGATTTAGTGAAAACAGGCAGGATTTTTACTCTATATTTGATCTGCAGTAAAGCCTGGAAGAGCTGAGGTGGCTTAACGCTGCACGGCTTCTATTCCCACAAGGCAAACACAAATGGGTCAAGCTCTTCCTCTCTGCTTTAATTTATTCTCCACCACAGCTCCACCAGCCTCCACAGGAAGAAGCAGGATTCTTGTTATTTAATAACCACACTTTTACAGTTTTAGCTTATTTAAAACGTGCTTTTCATACATTGTGTTACAACGGGAATGTATCCCTTTTGTAGGAAACGCCTCCAGGTGCCCTGACCATACGAGTCTGTTGTTTTTTTCCTCTGCAGTGGTAACCTGGATAAGCAGACGGAGTGGGGGAACACCGCCCTGCATTACTGCTGCATGTACGAGAAGCCCGAGTGCCTCAAGTTGCTACTGAGGGGCAAACCGGCCACAGACATCAGTGAGTCAGGGTTCAGCCACCCATAAGCACAAATCACGGTGTTTTATTTTCTACATATATTTTTTTTCTCCCTTTTTTCATTTCAGCCAATCAGAATGGAGAGACGGCTCTGGATGTTGCCAGGCGACTGAGGAACAGTCAGTGTGAGGAGGCAGTAAGTACAGGAGGCCGAGTGGCCGGATCTGACCAGAATGAGCCCTCCTGATTTAAAAACACGGACTAAATTACAGAAAGTGGAGGCTTCAAACGCTTTTGAAGCTGCAGCTGTTTGATGGGACGAGTGTGGATGAGTCTGAACACTAGATGGCAGCGGAGCTGCTGTCTCCATCCAGAAGGGACAGGAGCAGCCAAGTGGAAGGAGTTGTTCATGTGTGTTTGTTATTAACGCAGATCTGAACAAGCAGAACCAACGGGGACAAAAATAAATCTAGTTTAGAGGGATTGAGCTTTGAAATCCTATCATAGTTTGCTTTTGCCATCTTGTTGTAGTTTCCCATAACAAGAGCAGCTTATAGATAGTTTTGTTGTCTCTTTCAGCTTGTCCAGGCTGCAGAGGGGAAGTTCAACCCTCACATCCATGTGGAGTATGAGTGGAGCCTCCGCCTGGAGGAGATGGACGAGAGTGATGACGACCTGGATGATAAGGTGCCTAAGCTGCTGAAATTTGCCCCCGGATTTAGAAAAACTTGTGAATTTTAAACAAAAAAAGGCAGCATTTAAGAAGATCCAGTAAAAAGTCACCCTGATGACCTTTTCTTCTGCCGCTCTGCTGGTGGATTGTTGGATTTCAGTGAGAGCTAATCTCTGTAGCTTCACTTGCTGGAGGAGAGCTAGTATTCATTGTCTCTAATGTTCATCAAGTTAACAGCTGTTCTAGCCAAGACTGGCTGTGCATGCAAGAAAAACAAAGCATTATTTTTACTCTCTTTATAAAGTTGATGTACAACTGAATATGAGCTGTTTTCGCTTTAAAGGTGCAGTATGTAAAAATATTGTGAGAATTTTACAGCAAGAAAATCCCAAAGGTGCTTTTATAAGACACACCATGCCGGTAAATGGGCGTAATATTACCGCAATGGTATGTCTGCGTGGCTGCGTGAATTTTGCGGCATTCGTTCCGCCTCGCTTGGTAGTAATATTGCGGTAATGGTCTGTCGTATGCGCCCCGGCGCAACAGAGGCAGATGTCATGATGACGTGGGGAGTTATTGCTGAGCTCCGGCTGGCAAATCTATTGAAAATGAAAGTAAACACAGGCAATAAGGTTTGCTTTTTGTGCAAAATCAGCTGAGATGGCAAACTGGAGCGCCGCAGCGCTCCATGAGCCTTTTTGTTAGAGCTGAAGCTCAGATCACCAGAGACTGCACAGGGACTGATGGGGACAGACACCTTTAGGAGCTGCTTGTTAAATAAAGGTAACGATCACGGCTTCAATCGCAATAAAAAGCAAGTTATGTCCAAGATAAACGGAAGCCTGCGGCAGCGCAGAGCCCAGCCCCATACCCCCTTTATGCTGCCATCACCTAATCTTTTATAAAATTGCCACGATTGCGCCACATTACCGCCATGGTCTGATCTTAGAAACAGCCTTTATCCTCCCTAGAGAGCCGCGGCAAATCCTGTATTGAAAACGCTATGGTCCTGTAAAAACAGCTCAAAACAGTCAAATGTTTCAGTCATGAAGCATGTTTCATATCCAGTTGGCTGCGGGGATTGTCAGTTTTTCCTCCTTTCCAAACAAAGGAAGGAGGGACGTCAGGGTTTCCCCCAGCGCCGCCAGGCTTTGCTTGGCCACCCGCTAGGTTAAGAGTCATGCCCTGCCCCCCTCCCCGACCCTACCGTGTCCGCTGACACGAACGGCGCAACGAAACTAGAGCCCCCCCATCACCTGATACTGTTGAGAAACAGCAGCAGAACGTGTGCAATCACCCCCGCTGTCACAGAGGAGCGCTGCGAGATGGAGCGCGCGATCCCCCCCCTTCCCCGACGGCCGAATCCGCCAGGGTTAACTCATTTTCTGGGGGAAACCCTGGACGTAACTATTGTTTACCATCAGTGAGTGTGGGGTTGCCGTGTCCCCTGCAAGCTAATGCTGCAGCGCTGACAATTGTAATTTGACGATGGCCGGCAAACAGCTCCAGAGTTGTTTAAATTGGTGGCAGTTACTAAATTTTACCACAGGACGTAATTTTTACTTCATTTCGACACAATGCACCTTTAATGCAGAAATTTTAGGGCAAACAGATTTCTTAAAAAAAAAAAAAACTTTTTTTCTCCAGTATCCAGAGATTTGCTGCTCGTTATTTTTGTCAATAAAGATTTAAGTTGCTTCTTTGCCAAAAATGTGTAGAAAAAGTAAATTTTTCTACCTTGATTTTCAGAAATGTGCAGAAACCACATTGGGGGGCTGTTAGCTTGAGTCAGGTTTAGCTTTAAACGTCAAGAAGCTGTACACACGGGCATTTAAAACTGATGTTGTATTATTGAGTTAATATTTTGCAGTAACTTCATTGACTTGTTGAAAACGTTTTGAACTGGGAAGTGGCTTAAACTTTAGCGAAAGTCAAAAGCAGAGGCATGTGGCTCCAATGACACTCTTAGGCTTTTTCATGTCTAAATTTGAGAAGAAAACAAGATATTGATTTAAAAATGGAAGAAACAAGCATCAAAATGTTTCATTGTGCTGAAGAAAAGCCTCCCTTCAGGTTTGTTTGTTTGTTCTTATTAAGATCCCCATTAGCCACTGTTAAAACAGTTGCTATTCTTCCTGGGGTCATATTATCATCATCAAATAAACATAAGGAATGCATCAACACTGGGCTCACAAGCAAACTCTCCATTTTCATCTACAATATTCATATCCACTATAATGTAAAGGATGGGTAGTTTACATCTTACTTATGAACCATAAAATGTGAGATTCCATAGAAATATGAAATATCAATCTGATGGATCTTTGAATATTTTAACCAAAAGATCAGAACTTTTTATTGCAGGGATTAAACGACACTTCGTATTAACTCCAAGGAAAGAGAGAGAGTCAGGTTTAAAATAGTTAAGAAATTTATTTCTACACAATTTAAACAAGGCTAACTTTAACACTCTGTGTACTGATGGACTAAGGTGGGGTGAGACGTGATGAATGATGATGGTGTGTGTGTGTAATGTTATTCAGAACCAGCGGATCCGGAGAAGCAGTTAGTTCTGAGTAGGAGTGAATGTTTCGCTCTAAACTTTAGTAGGAGATTTATAACACACATGAAACGCCATCTGTCGGTCTACATACCCAGGGGAAGCCTCCGATCAGATCCAGAATGCCGAGGTCCTTGTGGACCCTCTTTGGTACCGAAGCCAGTAGAAAAGCAGCGGTGCTGACCAAACCAGTCTTGGAATGCTTCCAGGTCATGACAGGTTTTCACTGGCGTCTCCGAGACCCTGAAGGGGTCGTGAGGTTCAGCTTTTATTCTGAAGGAACCGTTGCGGTCAGGTGTAACTTCCAACAGATTTTATCAAGCTTGTCTGAGGTTCTTTATGGCTGAAGAGGAAGTCCGCATGGCCTGTCCGAGACTCCTCTAGAACACTTTGAACTAAAGAAAAGGCGGCGTTGAATAGTCTTTATAATTGTCATATTTTGGTTTACTGGCGAATCAGAATTTGACATGCAAAAAGAGGGTTTATACAAACACCACAGAAAACCACACCTCATGCCAGAAACAAAGGTTCTGATTGGATCAGACAAAAGGAAATGTGTCGTGTGACTTTAGCATTATGTGTCCTTAGTGTCTAGTGCAAATGTCCAGGATTATTATTACTTGTAAAATACTACTGATCACAGGATTATAATATCAAGTAATAACATTGTCATTTCACAGATTGATTGAACATTGGGCTCACATTATTATTGGTAATTACCAAAGTTGTTGATTATGTGTTTATCAAAAGAGTGTTCTTCGTCTTGAGCTGTAACAGAGGTGAAGCAGTTCAGATGAGCAGAGTGCATGAAAGACCTTGGCCACTATCTCATGTAGATTAGCCTGTCAGAGACTTTATGTCTCTGCTCGAGCAGACACAGCAGATCATGACCTTTAGGTCAAAAACAGGACATTCATGGCGCTACAATAAGAATACACAACAATACAACAACAAAATATAGTACATCTCACAGCAACATAAAAACACAATTTCCCCCCACACAAAAGACAATAAAATAAACAATTAAACCATAAAGTAAATTTAACATAATATTCATATCTTCTTCCAACTCATGTCAAACGGGTATAAATAAATAATCTCAACCTTTTACAAAAATCACTCCTTTGTAACTGACCCCTCAAGAATTGCAGTAAACCATTCCATTCCACCATTGCTCTATAGAATACTGACCGGCTTTGAATAAAATTAGTTCGACTAGCTGGCAACATAAAACAACCATCAGCTTGACGTGTAGCATGTTGGTGAACATCTTTAAAGAATGTCAGCTGATTAAAAAAAATCAGGTGTTTGTGTATTTATAATATTCCTAATACATTTTATAAGTAAATACTTTAATCTATTCCTTACCCATGCCATTTCAGTATGCATATCCTCACAGCCTTTTCTAAATGAACTATTCAAAATCAACTGAGCTGCCTTATTTTGTGCTACCTGTGATTTATATAGCTTCTGTAGTAGCAGCCCAAATTATTGCACAGTAGTCCAAGTGACACATAACAATTGATTCAACTAATAATTTTCTACTTAAATATGGAATGCATTTTTTGCCGTTCCTAACCATTGCCATGTTCTTCCCCATTTGAATTAAAATCTGTTTCACTTGACTGTTCTAGCTGAGCGTTTCATCAATTATTAGACCAAGCAACCTAACTTCTTTTACTTGCTCAATGGGCATTTGCCTTATACTTAAATTCAATACAGGTACAACAAATGAGATGATCCCATAACCATACATTTAGTCTTCTCAACATTAATAACTAACTTGGTTTCATTGATCCAACCTTCTACTAACCTTAATTCATTTTTCAATACTGAATTTAATTCCTCCAAATTAATTTCCGCCACATATAAATGTCAAGTCATCAGCATATAATACAATAGTCGCACACTCTAACATAAATGATAAATCATTTGTGAAAATAGAAAATAACAATAAGAATAACTGCCATTAAACAATACCGTAAACTCCCTCCCAGTTAAATAACTTTTTACCCATTTAACAGCTGATTTATGAAAACCATACAACCGTAATTTCTCCAGTAATAAATTATGGTCCACTACATCAAATGCTGCACTCATATCCAATAATACTGTCCATGTTAATTTCATTCTGTTACGTATCAAAGGGATCAAATTTTTCACCATCTAATTGACATAACATAACCTTTCATACACATTCAAGGCTGAACCATCTGTTGGGGCCCAGATGCCCAAAACAACCTTTGCCCAATTATTGTTCCTCAAAGGAGACATACTGTAAACAGTCTTGCTCAAGGATTCCTGCCATCTCTGCGTAGAAGCCAGACGTCAACATTCTTCACTCTGAGTAAGTGAAGACTACATGACTTTACAACTCATAAGCTTAAATAATCATATGTGGTGAATGAACAAGATGTTTAAATCAAATGTTTGAGTAACCTGTGCTTAAATCAATTAATTTGACATGAATGTTGTTCCTACAATGATCCACTTATTTCACTAATCAACAACAACATCTTTGTATCTGAAGAAGGCGTGGCTTTCTGAGGGATGTTGGTAAGACTCTAAACATGTCAAATTCTGTTTGCGAAACTTGGCCAGAACTCAACATTGTGGTTTATTAAAACAAGAATTACTTGCCGATTAATTTGGTTTCTAGCTGACTCTCGAACCGGCCAATTCAGGAACAAGCATCTTCGAGACATCTCTTTTGACATACAGTCAAAAACCTCTTCTCACGCTCCAAGCTGACACAGCCAAACTGCTCTTCTAAGAGCCAAAAATCCACCTTGGAGGCAAACAAGCATTCCAGCTTCCCGTTGTGACCTGGAGATATGTCAAGGCTGGACGGGTTGTATCGGAACTACAGGTGCTGGCCAGTAAATTAGAATATCATCAAAAGGTTGAAAATATTTCAGTAATTCCATTCAAAACGTGAAACTTGTACATTATATTCATGCAATGCACACAGACCAATGTATTTCCGATGTTTATTACGTTTAATTTTGATATTTATAGGTGACAACCAATGAAAACATCAAATCTGGTATCTCAGAAAATTAGAATATTCTAAAGGCCAATGAAAAAATGTTTGTTTCTCTAATGTTGGCCAACTGAAAAGAATGAACATGAAAAGAATGTGCATGTATAGCACTCAATACTTAGTCGGGGCTCCTTTTGCCTCAATAACTGCAGTAATGCGGCGTGGCATGGACTCGATCAGTCTGTGGCACTGCTCAGGTGTTATGAGAGCCCAGGTTGCTCTGATAGTCGTCTTCAGCTCCTCTGCATTGTTGGGTCTAGCGTATTGCATCCTCCGCTTCACAATACCCCATAGATTTTCTATGGGGTTAAGGTCAGGCGAGTTTGCTGGCCAATCAAGGACAGGGATACCATGGTCCTTGAACCAGGTGCTGGTGGTTTTGGCACTGTGTGCAGGTGCCAAGTCCTGTTGAAAGGTGAAGTCTGCATCCCCATAAAGTTGGTCAGCAGCAGGAAGCATGAAGTGCTCTAAAACTTCCTGGTAGACGGCTGCATTGACCCTGGACCTCAGGAAACAGAGTGGGCCAACACCGGCAGATGACATGGCACCCCACACCATCACTGACGGTGGAAACTTTACACTGGACCTCATGCAACGTGGATTCTGTGCTTCTCCGCTCTTCCTCCAGACTCTGGGTCCTTGATTTCCAAAGGAAATGCAGAACTTGCTTTCATCAGAAAACATAACTTTGGACCACTCAGCATCAGTCCAGTCCTTTTTGTCCTTGGCCCAGGCGAGACGCTTCTTGCGCTGTTTCTTGTTCAGGAGTGGCTTGACACACGGAATGCGACACCTGAATCCCATGTCTTTCATGAGTCTCCTCGTGGTGGTTCTTGAAGCGCTGACTCCAGCTGCAGTCCACTCTTTGTGGATCTCCCCCACATTTTTGAATGGGTTTGTCGTCACAATTCTCTGCAGGGTGCGGTTATCCCTAGAGCTTGTACACTTTTTTCTACCACATTTTTTCCGTCCCTTCGCCTGTCTGTTAATGTGCTTGGACACAGAGCTCTGCGAACAGCCAGCTTCTTTAGCAATCACCTTTTGTGTCTTGCCCTCCTTGTGCAAGGTGTCAATGATTGTCTTTTGGACAGCTGTTAAGTCAGAAGTCTTCCCCATGATTGTGGTGCCTTCAAAACAAGACTGAGGGACCTTTTAAAGGCCTTTGCAGGTGTTTTGAGTAAATCAGCTGATTAGAGTGGCAGCAGGTGTCTTCTATATTCAGCCTTTTCAGAATATTCTAATTTTTTGAGATACCAAATTTGGAGTTTTCATTAGTTGTCACTTATGAATATCAAATTTAAATGTAATGAACATTGGAAATACATTGGTCTGTGTGCATTGCATGAATATAATGTACAAGTTTCACGTTTTGAATGGAATTACTGAAATATTTTCAACCTTTTGATGATATTCTAATTTACTGGCCAGCACCTGTAATCTACGGGCTTCGGATACCTTGAGGTCGAGGTTCACCCGACTTCTGACAGTCTGGATCTGCACTGGGGTCTCCACAAGGGTAGTAGACACAACAGATCATGTCTGATGGCTTTTATCGATAACCAACTCTCTAGTTTATAACCAAACAACAAATTCTTTTACACCCAGATTTCACAAGTTCTCTCAGATGCAAAGAACAGTTTTGCTAAAACATCTAGCTGCCATCACACCACCTCACACATCACATTACATCACCTCACATCCACTACATCACATCTCATTATTCACATCTTGTCATGTATAATAATTAGTTTAGGAAAAGAATTAAATTCAATTTATAAACTATATACTTGACTCTGTCTGAATTAATACGAAGTGTGTTTATGGTCCTGAACAAGTAGAAGTAACTATAATCTTCTGATTAAACATTCAAAGATCAATCAGGTTGATATTTCATATTTATATGGAATTATCACATCTTATTAGTCACAATTAAAATTGTAGTTTCACGCTACACAATTATCCATATTAGTCATCCAATCATTAGTCATCTGTGCTAGTGCCGTTGTTGTCGAGTATCCCTTTTTTTCTGGTGATGCTCTGATTAACGTCCTGATGTCCCTTCTGCAGCCCAGTCCCATCAAGAAGGACCGCTCTCCGAGGCCGCAGAGCTTCTGCCACTCCTCTAGCCTCTCCCCCCATGACAAGCTCTCCCTGCCGGGCTTCATCAGCCAGCGGGACAAGCAGCAGCGTCTCTCCTACAGCGCCTTCACCAACCAGATGTACAGCGCCTCCACCGACCTCAGCTCCTCGCCGGTGGCCGACGGGCCGCCGCTGCCGCCCAGGAACCAGGGCAAAGGTCAGACATGGCTGCTCCGGGAGCTCACGCTTCCATTTGTAGATGCCTCGGATTTATCGGCTTTTGACGGGAGAAAATCGGTTATGTTACCCAGAAAGTCCTCATGTCTGTTTATATTTTACCACACACACACACACACACACGCACACCCTGCAGTGGTATGCAGTTTGTCAGCGCATAGATCAGAGGGCGGAAAGCAGGTGTCATCAAGATTACTTATAAGTAAACCTTAAGGAAAACATGGCTGCAGGAGAGGGCAGGGAACGGAACGCTTAATACACACTTCATCGTTAATTCTGTATACACACACACACACACACACACACACACACACACACACACACACACACACACACAACTGTGGGTGTGCTGTCTCTGCAGGATTGCAATTAAAAATAACACTCCTCCCTCTGTTGATCTGTCACAACTTAAGCCTTAGACCAACATCACACGCTGCAGAAGCTGCGGTTGCAACATCTGAACATTCTATTTCAGCATCAGAAGGGAATTTTTACTGAAGCAGCATTGTTTATCCTGTTTTTGCTGCAACATCTCATTTTTCATCAAGTCTTTGTTTACAGGTGCTTAGGTTGTTGCCCTGCAGATGTAAGATTTAGAAAGACAAAAGTTGTGTAACTTCATCTAAACAAGTTTAAAACAACAAATGATAATTCTGCTGCCAGCAGTTTTTTGTTTGTCAGCTTTAACGAGTTCATTAATTAAAGATGTTTCATGCAGGATGCCGAATAACAATCTGTAGCTCATAGAAGCTGCAGAAAACGTTGTCCATGCAGGATGGATATGGGATATTGTAGAATTTTTGTAATAAAATTCTAATTCAAACAGTAAAACAGAGGAAGCTACATTTATGGCCCAGTTTTTGTGTTGTATGCTTTAATTATTTAATTTTTCAGGTTGAAAAAGGTGTTGCTGGATAAAAACTCAAATCTGATTGGTGGACAGGAACCGTGACTCTTATAAAACCTTCAACATCAGAGACAACCATCTGCAAACACACTTCTGAAGACCTGAGAGCTCATTATTATCAATATTTCATGACTTGTAAAGGAAATGAATGTCTGTTGAGCACTGATGGACCTCCAAACTAAAATATTCCACCGTGTTTTTCAAGTGGAATATCTCTGCTATGAAGCACGGTGGAAGTAGCATCATGGGAATGTCTCAGAGATTTTTACATCAGAGTAGATGCTTATGATCCAAATGTTATGAGAAATTCCTTCAGATGTCCTGTCGATTCCTGATGCATTTCACTGAATGTAAATGAGAATGAGATTGCTACATTAGTTTGCCTTGATGTGGGACTTTCAGGCCGGAACTCACCTCTTAGCTTTGAAGGGGGCATATTTTGACTTTTTCATAAGTTGTAGTTCTACATTCAATGTAGAACATGTTAGTGAAGTTCTTGCATATAATCTCTCATACAAAGCAATTTCAGCAGTTTTATTTTTCAGTTTCAGTACCTTCCAGAATGAGCTGTTTCAGGGCTCTTTCGCTTTAAGGACTCAAGCTGGACCTAGCCACGCCCACCCCTCTCCTAATAGGCTGCCAAAAGCTAATAAGCTCAAATTTCCAAGAGGAGCTCAGAGTAGAGCCGCTGCTCCTCCAGCGGTAGCTTTCTCTTCCTACGTTCCCTGTTTGTGACATCACAAACGGGATGAAAAGGCTTCTTTAAGGCACATAATCCCTAAAACCAATTACTGACAGAAAACAGACTGACGTATTCTCCTGGTGTTTAGAGTGTTTATAAAGGCAGCGGGACAAGCTGCTCACATGGCAGCAAAAAAGGTGGGTTTAGCATAAGATGTCCCCAATAATCACATCTAAACCTATTTATGACGTGTTGAAAAGTCAGAACTCCTCACCATGCTGGTTAGAGGCTGATTACACGTGTTGGTAATTATGAGTGATTATTTCTGAATGAAAGTTTACGTTTTGAACTCTCCAGATGTCCCCTCTCAGCAGGTGCTGAGGAGCTCGCTGCTCAGCACCTGCTTTACACCGTTTCTCCTCTTTTATTTTGTTTTTCTTCGCTTGTCACTGATAAGATTCCATCTCGTTATTTTTCCAGTGTGTGGGAGCAGCTTTTTTTAAGAACGACATGTTTGGAAGATTCTCTCCCACACTCTTCATCTCGCTCTATTTTCTTCCTCTTCTTTATTATTTTGTTTTTGTTTTGTTTCTCTATTCTTTCAGCTCCACACTTGGCATTCCTTGGCTCTCATTCGCACTACGCCACTCTGGCTGGCACCCGACCATACATCAGTGAATATCTTGTTTTATGTTTTCCCCCTCTTTTATCCCTCGGTTGTTTCCTGCTTTACGGCTCAGATGTTCAGAGTCAAAGCTTTATTTGAACTTAAAGGAATAGTTCGGATCTTTTAAAGTGGGGTTCTGTGACGACGGCTAGTTTGACTGCAGATTTCTATCGTCCTAAACCTTAGCATTTTACTTGTATTAAAATGCGTTTATTGTTTGCTAATGACAGAGCAACCTGGGGCCCTTTGGAGGAGCTATGCAACCATAGCAACAAGTTCAACACCACATTGTTGGAGGTGCAAACACACCAGTCACGGTTAACTAGGGGTTGTATGAACTAGTCGACTACTCGACTAGTCGACTTCACTGCTCTGTAGTGACCTTTTATGCCTGTCATCGACTAGTCGCTGTCACGTGATAATGACAAGATGCAGTCCTCGGAAAAGACAGCAGGTGATGAGCCCCTGCGCATCTGGATCGAGGCGGAGGCGACGCGCTGTGCCAGAGCGTCGGTACTGACACCCGCCGTAAAACGGACATTTAACCAAATTGTGACCTTTACCCTCTTGCAATTTAACCTTCCCCTCACCCCATCCTAATCTTAACCAGCTTGCGCATGCAAAGCTCTGATCGTTGACGCGCTCCAGACATCTGCGTCCTGAGCACGGCCACAGTAACATTATCAAATCAGGTGTCACCACTCAAAAACAAATTTAACGTGATCGTTCATGTCTGCTCATTTCCTTTTATGTTTTCTGTCTTTTATTTTTGCCTGATGCACCCCGCTGCTGTGGTGCGGGGCGCATCATCTGTTTTGTCCTCCGGTGACACACTGCGGCCGACGAGCACTCCGCTGTTTTTGCGGTCGGTGGATCTTTTAGAACTGCAGTTCAAAGGTAACTCATGAGGTGAATATAGATGAACCCAGGTAGCAGTTTTTTTTTAGGATTGCGAGGAGATGCAGGAAGATAAACAGATACAGGACAGAAAAATAGTCAAATAAAAACAAGTAAGTTTTTGTACCTGCTGGTTGCAACAAACTGACACCATTGAAGGTAATCAGAAGTGAGGAACAGAAAATGAAATAATTATTTTAATGTTTAGAGCAGCAGGAACTCTGAGAGGCTGCAGGCGCATCAGTGAGTTTGCGGCCGCTGCGCAGGGGGAGGGGGGAGATGGCTGAAGCAGGAACAGTATATATGCAGAAACTACCGTTGTTAAGAGATGTGTTTAACTTTGAAAATGTGTGCGCAATTTTAATTGTCAAAAACTCCAGCGAACCAAACGAACCCCCCCACCCCCCGGCGCCGCTTCAGGTGTATGACATCATCAACGACTAGTCGAAGTCGACTCGATTTTTATTACTTGACTGTCGACTTTAAAAAAAATTAAGTCATGCAACCCCTACGGTTAACGCAAGTGAACCACAGTCTTAAACTGAACACTAGAAGGATGTAGAAGGATTGTTGCCATGACAATTTGTTGTCCTCATTGGTAAAACTGGCAAAAATTTGGTAAATATTTCTTTCATTTACTGAGAAACTTCTAATGTTTAGCATTTGCTTAACTTCAGGACATGGAGCTGATTCATGTAAAAATCATAGAAACTTTTAAATTTAAACGACTGAATGGTTGAAAAACTGTCAAATTGGATTGTTAAATGAAATTATTTACATATTTTTATATGATGCATCAATGTCATTATAAAAATATGAACCTTCATATGTCGTTTTATCAAGTAATCCGACGAGCACTTTTCTTAGCTGAATGCTAAATGTTTTGTTAGCACCTCCACCAGTGTGGTTGGAGACTCTTGCAGTGCATTGTGGGTAGCATGTGACATCAGCCTATGCTGGTTAATTGTTGGGACAGGAATTGTTTCAAGATGGCAGCAACCTCTGCTGGGGCTAGCCGTTAGCCTATCAGTCCTGAGGTTGTTCATAGAACTATTTATTGTTTATCATTTTAAAAGATCTGAGCTATCTCTTTATTGTTTAGACCAATCAGGATGGAGCTATTAGAATTTGTGGCATGACCTGTCATCGTTGAGCTGTAAACTCTGACCCACAGCTGATTCCTCTCTGGCTGAGCTCTCTATCGGCTGCTTTCATCTTACTTTTCTCTACATTAGTGACCAGTGAGTGCTTTAGGGTCTCGCTAGAACCAGATTCAGATTTAAATAAACACTAATGAAGCCAGGATCATCGCGTTCCTCTGTACGCTTCCATCCCATCAGTCATGTTTGGTTCTCACTTTCCTGTCCGGTCTCTCTTTTATTATCTGTGTTTTATTTAGATATATTTTCTATTTATGTGTTCATTTGTTTTTTGGGGGATTGACCTCATCGCCTCGTGTGTGTGTTATGTATCGCTCCTCTAGCTCCTCCCCCATCCGGCCCTCCCTCCACACTCACACCAGGAGGCAGCTCCACCCTGTCCAAGAAGAGACCTCCACCCCCCCCTCCTGGACACAAACGCACCCTGTCCGACCCGCCCAGCCCGCTCTCTCACAGTCCGCACAGTAAAGGGGGATTAACCGGGGGTGAGACGCAAGCACACATAAACAGTATAGTTGGTTATTTCATATTTCACCCCAGTTAGGAAGGTAGGGCAAATTATAAAGCTCAGCTTTCAAATTTCTATTTTTTTAGAGCTTAAGTAAATAAAATAATATTTTGTTTACATATAAACAAAGGTTGTAGAACTTTATTAGAACCTTTATTTAGTCCGTTTTCTGTCCCTGCTTGACATTTTTGGACTTTTCGATTTATTAAACACCATAAAACATTGAAATAAGGGCAGTTAATTTCATTACTAATAATTAGTTCAGCATTTTAGTTCAGTATTTCAATATATATATTTTTAAATGATTCCTATTAAATCTTAAGTCAGTGCATCTATTGTAGAGTTTTCCAGGTTTTACTTTATGCAGACGATGCAGCTCTATTTTCTCAGAAGCACAAACCTGCAGATACTAAGCAAAACAAAGAAAAAACATTAAAATGGCTCCATTTACTTTTAGATTAATATATTTTAGTTTTTATCATTAAGAACCTTCCTACGCCACACCTACATCCACACCCAGCCCAGCAAATGAAATACTTTAAAAGCCACAACAAAGAAAGATGAGCTCATGGAGAACTCAGCCAGATGACGTTTCCCTCATTGTTTTATTTAACCATCACAGCATGTTTATTAATTTCCATATTTATACCAGATTAATTCCTCCACTGCTGCTCTGGTGCGGTCTGAAGTTTGTTGTTGCCGATGTTAAACTTTTAGGGAGCGACTCCACCCCTCCTCCGGTCACTAAGATGTCTCCTGTTTCCAACAAGTTTGAAGGGATTCCTCAGCAGCAAAGGTAATGCTCGCTGAGGTCTTTTTGCTGTGAAATGTCTCTTTTTCTGTTTGAGTACATCTCAACATCCTTTCCCAGCACTACTTCAAGCAACACAAAGTCTACACTTGGTCCAAGGGTTCTTCCCAAACTACCTCAGAAAGGTAAGATTTTAGTCACTTTTCAGTGTGTTTAAAGCATCTTATTTGTATTTTAACGTCTTTTTACCTGATTCTGTGTCCAGTGGCGTTGCGTAAGATCGACACCATACACCATCCGTCTGTGGATAAGCCCAGCCTTCCTCCAGAGGTCTTCCAGAAGTCCCCTCCATCAACTGAAACCATTCATAAAGCTCCTCTGGGGGACCGGCCTCAGCCGGGTGAGCTGCCCCCCAAACCGCAGGTGTCTGAACTCCCCCCAAAACCAGGAGAACTTCCTCCGAAGCCGCAGCTCTCCGACCTCCCTCCTAAACCTCAGCTGGGAGACCTGCCGCCTAAACCGCAGCTCAAAGACCTCCCTCCCAAACCCCACCTTGCTGACATCCCCCCCAAACCAGGGACTGTAGAGCCCACTTCGAGGCCGGCGCCTGGAGAGTCCGCACAGAGGCCACAAACACAGCCTCCACCTCCGCCTACACCTACACCTCCAGCTCAGCCTCAGCCACAAGACTCCCCATCACCTAATCAGCAGGCAAATATAGCAGCTCCATCCCAGCAATCTGCCGAGGACACCAACGGGACCCCGCCAGGGACCGCTGAGACCCCTGTCCCCCTCCCAAGGAAGATCAACACAGTATGGATGCGTTTATTCGTTTCGGTGTCGTTTTTGTTCATTTACTGATCAAGTCGGAGCCTAACGATACTCATTTACTATATTAGGTGATAAAGACAGTAAAATATTATAAATATGATAAACTGATCATAAAATTTCCTGTCCCCATAGGAAAATAGATTGGTTCAATCTTGTTTGATGTATTAAACATTCACCAGTTTTAGAAGGCCTTTTCCATACAGGAAATTCAGGGAAAATACAGGAATTTTCACAATAAAAGTCATACTTGAGACACTATTGATACATTAAAGGGATACTTTGCAACTTTTGAATACTTTTAAATAGTTTTCTTGAGCTAGTATTTGCTAAAATGACTCTTTACAGTGGGGCTATTCAATTCCGTACCTTGAGGGCCGGTATCCAGCACGTTTGGTTTTAACCCTGTTTCAACACACCTGATTTAAATCAGCAGGTGATTAACAGGCTTCTGCAGAGCCTGATTATCTGCTGCCCAGGTGATTCAGTCATTGAATCAAGTGTGTTGGACTAGAGAAACCACTAAAATGGGCGCGATACCTGGCCCTCGATGCCCAGAATTGAATAGCCCTGCCTTACATGGTTAATGAAAGGCCACTCAGCCCTTATCGCCCTCTGTGGCCAGAATATTCCACTTGCAACTTCAGGCTAGTGGCCGCTCTGTTGAAACGTAGAAAACAAAAAGAGCGGACATACCTGTCGCTGCAGTCTGCTTCCAGCATGTTTCCTGCATGTTTTAGATCATGAACAGCTGATTTGTTTAATTTAGTGATGAATCACATCTGTAGACACTAATGAAGGATGGGGAGACATTTCAGATGTTAGAATAAAGTGCTAAAAAGACGAATGCACAGCAAGGAGGTTTCAGTTCTTCAAACGGACACTAGGGGGTGCTAAAATTCAAAACAGCATAGTTCCCTTTTTAAAACTGCAATATTTGTGTCGTTATAATTTTGTTTACAATTTCTCCTTTTTTTATTGACATGAATGGATTTTTTTCACTGAAATCAAAGTTGAAGAATTAGCTGATTCTTCAGGCTAATCTTTCTCTTTATTTCCTATGTCTGTTCTGAGGAGGATCAAACATTTTTATAGGCTCAAATTTCTTATCTCAAAAATATACTTTGAAAACACATTTATACACATTTATTAAATCCTAACAGATTAATATTCCTTTAATTGAGCTTTTTCCTCAGTTTCTCAGATTTTATTCTAAAATTTTACAAAGGAATTGTTTCAGTTACAATTTAATTTTTTTGTATTTTCTGTTAACCACAATTTATCAGTTTTTTTTATCAGAACTTGCTGTGATACTTCCCCTGTTGAGTAGTTGACCTAATTGAGTTGGTGGCTAATTAGACCAGAGTGGAGATGAGTGAAAAGCATTAAAGCACGGGGGGGACAGAAGATAACAGAAAAAAGTTTTTATATGATAATTCTACTTTCCTTGGTGTTCAGGGGAAGAATAAAACCCGTCGGGTGAAGACGATCTACGACTGCCAGGCGGATAACGATGACGAGCTGACGTTTGTGGAAGGAGAGGTGATCATAGTTACAGGAGAGGAGGACCAGGAGTGGTGGGTGAGTGGTGTTTTAATAACTCCTCTTTGTCTAATCAGCAAAAACGAATCGCACTCACCCCCTTCCCCCTTTTCCTCCCAGATCGGACACATCGAAGGAGATCCGGACAGAAAAGGGGTGTTCCCCATGTCTTTTGTGCACATTTTAAGTGACTGACAGTCAGACAGACAGACTTGCACTACCTTTAAACCATGTAAATACCTATTAAACAGTAATACAACCCCTGATCACATGACAGGTGAAAAAGAAAAATAAACAGAATAACGAATCAAGAAAACTCCTCTAGACCTGGATGCCACATCCATGCTGTACAAAGAATGTGTGTATTCTTCCTCTACCAGTATTATCTTAACCGTATAGCATGGCTGAGACAGAGCCACTCTCAAAGCCTCTAGCACTTACCTTCAAAAGTCTATGTTGATGCTGTTCCTGTGTACATATATATATGTATGTAAATAGATATATTTGTGTGTGAGTGTATATACATGTTTTATTGTACAAAACATGTGCCGTTGCTCTCTGCCTGTTGGATGAAGCATCAGGTCAGCAGAGTCTGGATTTTATCGGTGTTCATTTAGCGGCCGGTGAGTAAAAAAACAGGACAAATATGAAATGGAATGTGAAATAGGTCATTATTTGTGTCTGGCATTCCTGTTTATCCCCACAGCTGACCGGAGAGGCGGATCGGACCCCCCCACGCCCCCTCCATGAAACGTTCTCCGTTTCTTGCTTGCTTTGTGTGTACTCTGGTTGTTTTTACCGTACAGAAACCTGCTGCTACTGTGTGGTGGAACATCAAAGCCTGTGGTTCACTGTAGGTCACTAATTTACTCCTTGTTACACTGTTCACTGTGTGTGTGTGCGTGCGTGTGTGTGTGTGTGAACTCAACGCCATCTCAGCAGCCCTTTTTTCTGTGCATGGTGTAACGACTGGAAACGAGTGGAGTGCTGCGTTCAAACACCTCAGGGTTTGAAGAGCCACTATTGATATTAAAAGAAATGTATCCTGTAGTTTAAGCCACTATCATCCACAAGTACGGGAACCTGAAGAGGACATCTTAGCAATAACTTGATTTTCCCACAGGCTAGGAAATTTCACAACCTGTGTTCACAGTTCAGTGTCTTGTAAACCCTCATGAGCTTGAATTTTTATTTTTTAACTTTGATTTGTGTAATTTCATTCCATGTGACTGGATTCAGAACCTTTCCAGGTTGCCTGTAAACCAGAAATGTCTCTCAGATGAAGGTTGGAGACTATGTGTTTTCACCCAGTCCTCAGACTTGCAGTTCTTCCCATGTTTAAGGAACAAACCCATTGTATCAATAAAAAGGAAAATGCTGCACTTAAACGCTCTGAGTTTGATCCTTTACTGGTTTTGATTCTGAAAGTCTGCAATGGTTCATTTGAAGCTTTTTGAGTTGATAAAAACATTTTCTAAATGAAGACTTTTAATCAGAAGTTTTATTTAAAAACTACGGTTGCCTCCTGAGACCCGAACTTGTGTTTGATGTGATTTTAAAAAATCTAGCTATTCTGCACTCGTTAATGAAAACAAAATTACAAATAAAAATGTAAATATCATGCATCTATAAATCAAAAAGGTCCAAGTTGAGTGAAATTTTACAGTGCGAGGAGCCACTGTCCACATATGGACAGAGGGCCCCAGGTTAACGGAAGAGAAATCCGGTTACATCAGCTTCTCCTGGAAGTTGTAGCTCTAAGCAGAAACATGTAAAGACCCTACTGTTTGATAAAAGATAGGATTTACAATAGTCCCTAGTATCCTTATGCCCAAAATCACACTTTCAGTACAATTCCTGAAACTGCAAACAAGCATTGCGTGGTAGCACTGTTCTTTATGGCATTCAGTGTGAGGTTATTGTTGCATTAAAGGTGCATTTTGTCGAAGTAAAAATGGCATCTTGTAAAATGTTACCGCAACTACTTTAAACTCAAGCTTTTGGCCGGCATTCATCAAATTACAATAGTGGGCGCTGCAGCATTAGCTTGCAGGAGACAACCCCACACTGATAGTAAATGGTAGCTACTTTTTTGGGAAAGGAGAAATTGACCATCCCTACAGCCTGCTCGATATGAAATGTTTCAGTTCAACCTCTAGATTGCAACCAAGATTTTTGGGATTTTCTTTCCGTAAAATTTTCAATTCTGACATAGTGCACTGTTAAGTCTTAACCTTGTTCATCTTTGCTGGATTTCACTTAAAATAGCTCAGACCAGTTTTAGCATGCATTAGTTTACATTTCCACTTGAGTCAGCTTGCAACACCATATTTGCTTCTACTTTTAACCATACAACATTTTTTGAACATGGTTTTAGCCATTAAATGCCATTTCTTATTATTTTTTCTTGGCATACCAGTCTTTAATGCATAATCAAAGAAATTCTTTAAACCAATAGATAAATGTCCCCCCCGCTAGGAATTTATTTGTGCCTTTAGTTTTAACCTCGATGCAAACTCCCAGCTGAATTGCATTTTTAAACACATTATTTTTAAACATTTGTAATCAATGACTTGTTCCACCTTAACAAGCAGAAGTTTTATTAACTTAAACATTTTATTTAACAGAACACTTTACTCAACTTTAATTTTTTTTCCTACAGTTTTTGAAAGAACTTAAGTTCAACTTTATAACCACACATAATTGCACTTTAAACCAATTCCCTCAACTTAAAGCTTTCTCTCCTCAAATCACATTTAACTGTACAAAGAAAGGTGTGACCAATTCTGACTCATTTGGCCACTTGGGTTTTGTGTGAAGACTTTGACCCCTGGTCTTTCTCCACTGACTTGATGACTCCTACAGCAACTGTCTGCTTCAGGTCTCTGGCTGCAAAGCGACCTGTTAAGAGGAAACTGTTAGAAAATGTCCAACATGGCAAAAATGTTAAATAAGAGTGCTGTACCTAAAGGAGGGTAGTTGAAAAAGCTCTCCACACACATGGGCTTTGCAGGAACCATTTTGACTGTAGCAGCATCTCCAGACATCAGGATCTGAGGGTGGTCCTCCAGCTTCCTGCCCGTACGGCGGTCAAGCTTCTCCTTCAGCTCTGCAAAGCGGCAGGTGACGTGTGCAGTGTGGCAGTCGAGCACAGGGGAGTAGCCACTTTTTATCTTCCCTGGATGGTTCAGGATGATCACCTGTTGGAGATCATGTTCAAGTCTGGAAACTAAATGCTTCGCGGGATTTTATTCATTTTTTAAATCCAAACCTGAGCTTCAAAGCTGCGGACATCTGATGGAGGATCCTGCTGAGCGTTCCCAGCCACGTCTCCTCTATGCAGGTTTTTGACTGATACGTTTTTGATGTTGAAGCCAACATTGTGCCCTGGGAGAGCCGTGTCCAGGCCCTGGTGGTGCATCTCGATGGACTTCACTTCTGCTGTAAGCTTAGCAGGGGAGAACATCAGGGTCATGCCGGGTTTTAGGATCCCAGTCTCAATCTTGCCCACTGGAACTGTCCCAACGCCTGGAAAAGTCACCAAATTATTCAACATGGACACCGTATTAAAGTTCAAGCCACAAACTTTATGCATTCATATCTAACCTCCGATTTTGTACACGTCCTGCAGAGGCAGCCGTAGTGGCTTGTTAACCGTGCGTACAGGTGGGTTAATGGAGTCCAGGACATCAAGGAGAGTTTTCCCACTTGCAGTTCCTTCCCGGCGCCGAGCTTTCCATCCTTGGTACCACGGCATCTGCACACAGCTTAGATCAACAAAAATCACCTCAACATCTGGTAGCTTCAAGCCATGAGCACTTGCCTTTTGAGTTGGAGTGATCATGTTCTCTCCTGTCCAGCCAGAGATGGGAATGAACGGTAACGCCGTGACATCATAACCAATCTTCCTTAGGAAGACCCTCACTCCTCGCACCACTTCGTCATATCGTTTCTGGCTGTACGGTGGCTCAGTCGTGTCCATCTTGTTGACACAGACGATTATTTGCTTGACGCCCAGGGTGTAGGCCAACAAGGCATGTTCTCTTGTCTGTCCACTTCTAGACACACCGGCTTCGTATTCACCTTTGGCAGCAGAAACTACCAAAAGGGCAACATCAGCCTAAAAGAGACCAGAGCTGTAACTAAAATCAGAGAAAATGCACCTTCAGTTCTTAATATTTACCTGAGACGTTCCAGTTATCATGTTTTTGATGAAGTCACGGTGGCCCGGCGCATCAATGATGGTCATGCTGTATTTCTGGGTGTTAAACTTCAGCAGAGAGATGTCGATAGTGATCCCTCGCTCCCGCTCGGCCTTCAGCTTGTCCAGCAGCCAGGCGAACTTGAAGGAACTCTTTCCCATCTTTTAAGTAAATTAAAGCATAAGAACACACATTGCAGTGCCTTTTAATACCTCGTTTCGGCTTCTCACCTGTGCTGCCGCCTTCTCAAACTTCTCCAGCTTCCTCTGATCGACACCTCCACACTTGTAGACAAGGTGTCCTGTGGTGGTGGACTTCCCGCTGTCCACGTGGCCGATGATGACCACGTTAACGTGGGTCTTCTCTGTTGGCATAATTGAAGGTTACTTAATAACTCACACACTTTTCTAGATTCTTCTATGAAACAGACCAGAATGGGTTTTTCAGAGTGCCTTTATAGGAATGCTTAACTCAAGGCAGCTGTGCTGCTTAATTAGGCTTAATTGGTGTCAGGGTGACGGAAAAGGACAAAAGAACGGGGATCCAGGACAATGGTGAAGAATAAACAGATCAGTTCATTTATGTTGTGAAAAAATAACAAAAGTTCATTTTGATCTTTGTTTAGAGAAAATAAAGCAGCAGCTGGACACCGTTGGAGCGTTTTACAGTGAATCAGATGTTAATCTCAGCTTTATCCAGGTGTTTCATGTGGAGCGTGTCAAACACTGACTCATCATGAAGCAGAAAATAAAATAAAAACACGAATGAACACGTTTAGGAAATTGTCATTGTCAACGAGTCAAAATAGTCAGTTTTGGAGCAGAGAAGATGTAATCAGAAAAGTTATTTTCTACCTATATTCTTTTATCTTTTGCTAAGATAACTTTAACTAGCAGGTGTCTTATGAAGATATGTACTCAACAAACAACTAAACTAAAACAATTCAAAAAATATATAAATTTAGATGAAAAGTGAAACATTAGTGGTACGCATCCTTTTTGAAGTTATATCAATTTTGATATATTTAATCACCCTAAATGCCTCTTAAAAAACAAAAAATACAAAACATTTTTAATGGTAAATAGGTTGTTTAAATCTTGTTGATATCTGATTCAAAAACTTCATAAATCTTTAAGAGTATTTTGTTTTTAGATGGTAGCAAAGCACTTTAGTCTTGATTTTACTCAAACTTGCTGCTAGCTTGTCAATCCAATCAGAATTCAAGTGTATTCCTCCAAATGAAGTTGTTCAAAGACCCATTCATCACAACTTAATTTAATTAATAAAAAACACTGAGATGTTGTTATATAAGTCAGTATATAAAAACATAATAATAATAATAATAATAATAATAATAATAATAATAATAATAATAATAATAATAATAACAACAACTGTTTTTTATAATTGATGATGTGTCAAAGCCAAAGTTGCTCATTTGGATTTTAGTTAAATGAAAACAGAAAGTAAAATGGCTTTAACTTGGTGGTCATGAAACACAAGAACAACACCAGGAGGATCTAGTTTAGCTTCTTATTCATGTGTCCTATGGCTGTGTAAACAGTTTTATGATATCTAGTTCAAGGACGATATATTAAAATTGGTCTTAAGGGTTTGAAGCCCTGAACAAAGCAGCAACGAGATTTATAAATAGCTGTAGTAATCCCATAGATGTGTCAGTCACGACTGGGCCATAATAACAAGCCAGCTCCTTTAAGTGAATGACTGGAACTGTTTTTATTTTTTTTATTTTTTTAAAACATGCTTTCCCCTCCCCATCTGCCTACTTCTATGTCTTTAAGGACATTTCAAATGACAGCTGAAATCACTACTGTACCCTCGGCTAGTTCAAGTGATTTTACTGAAATTGTCTTTTGTAATTATTACTTTATTGTTATCTTATTCATACCTAAATGTGTCTTTGTGTTCTTAGAAGAAAGAATGACACATGAAGTAGCTTTAAATTATGTTGGTTGAAATTTTGTTAGCACCATTTACAAGACGATTTTAACACACTTCAATAGCGGGGAGGTCAAGTTTTGCCACCCTTTTGCACCTCCTTTGTCCCCATGTGTAAAATATACTAGAATCACAAAAGTCATATATTAAGCATCGAATTGAGTTTAATTACAGACAAATGTATAGGAACGGTAAAAATAAGATAGTCAGCCTCTTGAAAATGAGGATCTCAAGTGAATTTTTACTTTTTAGTGAGGAAATGTCCCTTTAAAAACATGTAGAGGAACCAACCACTAGGTGGTGTAAGCTTTCTTTAAACTATGTTTTGTTTCTGAGCTTTTGCTCATTTAGATTGTTTAGCAAACACGAGGTAAAATATTTGTATTTAAAAATTAAAAAGGTGGTATTGTCACTTTGCATATTACTGTATTTTAAATAATTGTGCAATCACAAGTTTTACGTAAATATTTATACTTTATATGTTGAACTGAGCCGAAAGAGCCAATTCTTTTCGATGAGTTGAGCAAAGTAATTCGAATCCTGAAAATGGATCGAAATTCCCACTACTAAATGGAGAAGATGTTGTTTGAACGAGTACAGCGGATGGGCGGGCCCATTAGTCAGTTCATAGAGTTTAGGTACTCGCGTCATTCCGCGCAGTGCGGTGTAACAAACCAAACTCACCTCCACCACAATGACGCTGGACAGCTAACCAGGAAACAGCGGCAGCAAATTGCTTTTCTTCTCTTTCTAGCCCGGACCGCCACTGCTTCCAGCGTGGTATCCAGACGTCGACTCCCGTGTTCCCCAAAGAGCATCAAGGTAAATAAATTCACTAAATATTTCCTACTTTTAATCGCCTTTTTTCGGTTTGTCTATTCCGCCTTTATCACCCACTGGTTGCCTTTAACCAAAGCTCGTTTTTCTGTGTAAGATTTAGCTAAATGAATGAGTCACCAACGCGTTCAAGATGGCTAAAAATACACATTATTAATGTTAACTTGTAGCGTAAAAACAAGATAATGTGAGAAAATGAGTACTAACGTGGTGCATCCTGTACTTGTACCGTTAACTTCCTCTTTTTCAGATCAGCGGGTGGTTGTTTCTCACAGGAGTCTCGAATCTATGAAGCTGCTTTTCCCCTTATTCGGACAGAGTCATTGAACGTTACACAGTTGACCCATAACCAGGCTATCTGTCAGCTGTGTTTGACCCTCCTGAGCTACATTAGCTACACTCGGCTTTAAATCATGACTGAAAAGGATGCATCAGTACGGAAAATGCACACTGACAGCTGGGACATCTTCAGAGCTTTATATTTAATATAATATAAATTATAATGTAAAATAACAATTAATTAGTCTGATCCTAATTTCTTCCATTTACCCACTTCTCAAAGCGATTAGCAGAGTAAGAGGATTAGTTATATACAAAACTATAACACAAAGAAAGACCCAAATTAAACATTTAATTTTAATGCTGTGCAATTCGATCCATACACAGGCTTCTCTTACACCCTAATTTAATTTAAAGATTAATCAGTGTAACATGCGTGCCACTTTGTTGCTTAAATGGCCCATTTAACCACAGAACCATATAGCAAGCAACTGAAGGTTTTCTCCTTCCTGCCCAGTCTGTGCAATAGCTTCTGAAAGTGGAAGTGAAACATCCAGATAGCTGAATTTGTTCAAAGATTGTGAAAGTGTGGTTTAATCATTAAACTTGTCTCAATGGACTCGTGCCGTTTCCATGCTAGACCACATTAGGCAGCAGTAGGTAAATACAAGACCTGTGTGGCTGTAAAAGGGAGATGCACCAATTCCGGCTTTCTGGGCCCATTCTGATTCCAGATTTTTGAACTGCGAATTCCATTTTCTCTCAAACCCTGGCATTACACCCCAGTGTGTTTGGATGTATCCCATGGGTTAAGTGTCACATCACTCTGTTAAAAATTAGACTTCAACACCATTAGTTATGTGAAACACTTCCAAATCAAGCCAAACAGGATGTTAAACATGAAGGCAGTGTAAAACATCAATCAACTTTCAAAATAAAGGACATGCAGATTTCCAGTTGTTTAACAAGTAAACAAATATAGGTCATAATAACCTGTAAAATCTATAGCTGAGGTTAACAAAACAAAAAATAAACCAGACCTTTTTGGAAACATCCATGTTTGTTATCGTGTGAATCACCAAAATCATGCATGGTCCTGCGATTCTCCGGTAACTTTGTCATCCATATTATGTAATTAGTTCAAAGTTTGCTTGACACCATTGTCTAAAGTTGCAGTTCTTATGCACAATATATCGGCATCAGTATCGGTATTGGCTGATGTTAGTCATTTTTTAATATATTGGTATCGGTCCGATAAATAAAACTGGGCCGATATTAACAACGGATATTTTTTCCATCTTGTTTCCATTTGTTTATCTGTTTCAGAGTGTGAGGGGGTTGATGTGTTTTTGTTTAGTCATGTGACAGTGATTGTAATCATCTCATAATTGTAAATGTGTGTGTACATAATAATGTAAATTAGGCTTTATTAATTTTCATTCTATACAAAATCTGCTGCTTTTAGAAGCATTCATTTCAGTATAACTTTATCGACAAATATCGGTTATTGGCCATAACGGTGATAATTGATATTGGTATCGGCCCAAAACTTTCATATCGATGCATCCCTAATTTTGGCTGATGAAAACAAGAAATGGGATGATTTGGATTCAGTTTCCCAACCACAGCAATGGCGTGTTCAAAAGTCAAACGACACAAGAGCGAATGTTTTAAGATATTTTAGAAACATCGTAGGCAATTTGTCTTCAGCAGTCATTGTCAGGAATTACGTATGACTTTTTAGAAATCCATAAACGTGATAGTCTTACCCTGTTCGGTTATTTAATGTAGGCAGTATATCTTTTTTATTTTTTTGTTAAGCCTGCTCCCCGTCTTGTAGAGCCCAATGCAATTTGAACTGAGCGGCGCTCAGCGTTAGCCAATAGTGTTAGACATCCTCTTGATGTCAATCACTGAGCGTGCGTGTTTGTGGATGTACCTAGACTGATGCAGAGTTTGTGACATTTCTTATAGACAAGTAAGCTTTTAATATATTTTTATGAATAAACAACATAACATGAGAATAATAATAGTTGAAAGTTAAAAGTTTCAGTTCTGGTGGCTGGTTAGAGCTGCGCGTTTACGAACAAGAGGCGTTGCTTCTAGCTGGAAACACAGATTTCTGCTTTAAAGTGACATATGTATTTTTACCTTTTAATCTCTGCAAACATCCATTGAAATGTTGAAAATGAATAAAATAATGTCCAGTCGTTGAAAAATATTGACGGCTTTGTAACATATAACCATAAATATCGGGTCTAAAGTACACAGGGCGGGGGTCTAGCATCTTTGGGGGACGTCATAGACACCATGTTGCCTTCTGGTCGGCTCAGGGTCCTGCGTCTGTTGATGACGTCACACTAGATGATTGGCTGGACGTACGACTTACGGAAGTTATGTTACCACTGTAAAAAACGTTTCAGTAGTAAGAAACACAAATTTAATAACACAACAGCTAAACTCTTTCCCAAACATATGTGGAAGAACAAAATCAAAAAAGAGATGCAATATATTTTGGCTGAGTGGTATTGCCGTAGTATGATGACGTCATTGGCAGGCGCATGGAATTGGCATCACGGCATCTACATAAAAAAATAAGAAATCAGATTTTTTAGATTAGCCTGTACTGCAGAAAGGGTGACTTGTGCTCTGGTGTTTACGACAAAACGTTGCAAATCAATTTCAAACCTCAAACGTTTGTGGCAATAAAATGCAAGTGTTAAACGAAGAAAAATAAGCTTCCTTCAGGTAATTTCAGTTAATTTTTTATGTATTCCCGTTTACTGTGTCTGTCATTGATTGTGCTGAAAGAGGCAACTGTTTCTCTAAGGGAACTTAATTGTCTTTATTGTATTTTGCTCCTCTGTGGTTTATAAAGCCGGCTGGCGTACATGACAGTGCCTGATTAGTGCCATGGTAGTAAGAAGTTAGACGTGGTAAAACATGTTGTCTGTCATACCAAAGTGAAGCTAAATAGACAGTGACATATCTCTTAAAATAAAAATCTTCCTCTTTTTGGTTACTGAGGCAAAAAAACAGCAGCTGTCACAAAAGTTACAGAAATGAACCTAATGTTGATTAATTGATATAAAATCTGAGTTTTCTCCCTTTCGTTGAGTTTGTCAGAAATCAGGGTTACTCCTCTTGGCACGGTGTTGTAAATCCGTCTAGTGCAGGTACCGACCTGCAGGTGCGCTCTGGTGTGGCCTTTTCCTACAAACTATACATGCGTTGGATGCTGTGCAGCTACTGATTAACCAATTATGATCATATTTCCAGTGTTTGCACACATACAATGCTTTTTTAACCAACCTGCAGCAAAATCCTCTAAATGGTCTTACACAATATCTTATTACTGACTTTATAATGTGAGCTGTCGTCCCTGTGAAGGGTTTTCCATGGTTAGTGCATAAGGCTAGCTACAGTCTGACCCACTGCTTTATTACTATCAACAAGTGGTCATACACACACGTTAAACCCCACACCACCTTCCAACAACCTGCTTTTAATGGTGTTTTTAAGCTTTGAGCTTCTTATTTTGTGTTGAAATGGCTTGTTTTCATGCTTCTTGGTAGGTTGGCACAATACCACGAACAGTTGTGTAACAAAGCAGAGTGATGAAACAACAAAAAGCTTAAACCAACCCAACCTCTGTGTGACTTTCTGCCGGTCATAGATCCTCCTCCTGTAATTCATATAATATAAATGATCTGAGGTCTGCTGTTGGTCTCGTGAAAACGGCTCCATCCAGTTTTCCATTTCATATCCAGAAATCCGCTCTCCTGATTTTTTTTATTGTTCCTTTTTGCCCCCTTAGAAAAACCCTCCGTGCATTGCTCTTCTACGTGTCTGCTCTTGTCTGTGAGCAGATCAGAGATGAAAAAATGACATCAAGTCATCGGTGTGTAGACCTGACTGATCACCCCGTTTCTGTGTGCTCATTTCTCCATGCGGAGGATTATTTGGCACAATTATAAAACTAGTTATAATCAGTTGGACAAAACAGTTTTTTGGGGGAAAGGTCATGATTAGTTAGTATCTTACCTGCTGTAGATGGCTCATTGAATGACCCAAACCCCTTGTCTGGAGCTTTGTGAAACCCTAGTGTATGTGCTTGATGTTTGCCTCTGGTGTGTGTGACTCCGTGTGTGTTCTAGTTTGTGATCGGCCATGCTGGTCGACTCGAGCATTCCTCTCAGCGTTCTCACCTCCATCGTCGGGCGTTGCCTCATCTGAAACCCCGAGTGTGCTCACATCTTGCATGCACTCTTTCCTGCAGGCTGATTAAGGGCCTTTCGCAGGATGCTGTCATATTTTCATTGCTCCTCATTTTCAGCAGCATCTTCACCCCTGGCATGGAAACAAAGCAAAGAGCACCTTGCATGCAATCTGTCAACATAAAGCTATAAATAGCACAGCCTTACTGGGGAGGAATAGCCTAGTGAACTAGACCAAATTCTTGCTTTGCAAAGTTTGGTCTAGGCATGCTCCATTGGAACCTCCGCAGCTCCTACCAGGACTCTGGCTAGCCAATTACAGCTCTCTAGAGGGGTTTCAAACATACAAAGAGCTGTGATTGGTCCATAATGGTGGGCCAATCATAGTGCTCTATCTGCTTAGTGAACAAATCACAGAGCTTTATCCGCTTTGTGGGCCAATCAGGGCACTCTATATGCCTGGTGGGTGGGATGATGCAACAGATTGAAACAAGAGTATGTCACATTCATTGTCCAGTAGAATGCGGAGATCATTTGAAAGACAACGGTAGAACCCGCCCCCACAACCGAGAGCCGTCAATGGAGCATGGCCAGACTAAATAATACATTTGTTTAGTCTGGCTTGCCAGGCTAGGGGAGGAAAATGAAATACCCACACCTTTCACACATGATCAGAAAAACTGACTTGAAAAAGTCTACCTGTTGAATTTTCCCCTGCATGTATATAATTTCTCCGGTCAGATGTATTATTTTGGCCTGTTGTAGCAGCCACGATGTCCCTGTCTCTACCTACATGCCAGTGGACTCACTGAGCAGGCGTGTTGCTGCAGATGGAAAATTTGTGTGGTAGAAACTCCATTTTTACTACCCCCGCACCAAACCTCCATCCGCACGTGGTGTTGAAACTGCTGCTTTTATCATCAATATACATCACTGTAATTATACAAAACTGTACCAATGTTAAAAGATTTAAAACAGTTTAGATGTGATGGAAACTTGCTAATGATTGGTTAAACTGGTGATCGGCTAATCCACAGATCAAACTTTTATTCGTTTTGGTCAGTAAATGCAGCATTTAACACTTAATAAAAATCTAAATATGTTCCTGCCCTATTTAACAAGAAGTGATCTTAAATATGGACAATAGGGATGTAAGAAAATATAGATGCCATGAAATATCGTGACATGTCATGTTATAATAAATCGATATTTACAATAATTTTATTTAATTCTGAATTTACATGCAAACATTTACTGTGTTTCTTTTGTGTGGTGCAATTCAGACTCCGACTGCTAGGTGGCGGCAGATGCTACTGCCTTTATTATGTCGGAACAACAAGATCTCGTGATAACACTGGATGTGTCTTGGAAGTGTTTTGCCTGAGTTTTCCAATTAAACTCATTCTTAAAAATTGCAAATGTCGTCTATGTATTGCGATTTATCATATTGTAGAGCTGGACAATTAATTCAGTAATGATGTATGTCAATCGATAGACATGTGATGCAATAGAAAAGCAATGGATCAATTAAAACTTCAATACGTTTCCTTTTTTCATTAAAGCCTATTGGGTAGCTTCACACTAGAGTCATTGCTTACACCTAACCAGTCAAAAACACAGCCACCGGCATGCTCCGTCACCAAGCCATCCACTCTCAAACCAAAACAGACAGCAAGATGTTGCAGCAAGGAGAGGTGTAGGAAACCGTCCTGAAAAAAGGTTACAGTAGTTCAGTGTGGCAAATTATTCATACTTACAAGTCTGACAAAACAAACAGCGGTGGTTTGCTAAATTGGCAGATAATCAATAAAAACCAAGTCTGGAAATGCAGCCAACTTGTTTTATAGTAAAGTAATGGCATAAAATGGCCAGGGTTGTACTGAAAATATATTTTCTACACTTTTTATGAAGTTTTCCATAATTATTGCCATCGATCAATATAATTTTATTTATTTTTAATCGATAAGCTTTTTTTCTATATCGTCCATCCCTATGGTTTCGTCTCCCACGGTATTATGATATATATTGTATCGCCAGATTTTTGACAATACACACTTCTAATGGACGTTTTTACGTCTAGAATAATAGTTTTCAAGTTATTTCGAAATATAAGAGAAAATGATTATTTATAGTTCCTTGAAATAAATCAGACCTAGTCAAAAATCGGGAATCTGTTTGTTAGTAGATCGGGATATCCCATTCCGATATCAATATTGGAAGTAATTCAATATCGGCCTAAAATCACTGCATTGGATTATATCGGACTGCATCAAAAATCTCCGATTATAAGCAGTTCATTAAGGTTCACATTTTTGCATCCAATGGTTAAAAAAAATGTCATTTTTTTCATACTTACTGTTGCTGGCTCTTGTTCCGATTGAGTAATATCACTTGATCAAGCCTTTCATACATTCCACACTACAAAATAGGTAAAAGTATGTATGGTTTGTGCTGATATCGTAGGGCTGGGAGATATGCACCAAAACTTATATCTCTATCTTTTAGCTGAATTCCGATATACGATATTCATCTCGATTTTTCCTCCTGTAAAATATTTACAAGTTAACTCACTTCAAGCTGTCTTGAGAAATTATGTACATAAATCAGTAGATTAAATGCATAAAAATATATTGATTCTTGTCCAACTTTAACCTTAGTGCCTATTCTTTACCAGTCTGAGCTTTAGAAACACTGGTACAGTTGTCTGCTAACACACACACACACACACACACACACACACACACGCACGCACGCACGCACGCACACAGGTGAGAGCTAGAGGTATATCAAGTGTCCCACAGGCACTTTTAAATTATATTAATAATTAATGTAAAATAATTTAAATTTCATCTAGAGGTGGGCCATATCGTTTATTTCTTGTCCAGAGAAAATTTTTTTTTCATGTTAAGCTAAATTTATGATGATGTAATTCCATCTACTAAAGATCACATGGGTCATGCACCGTGGAGTTATTAGTTATTAGGGCAAACATGGCTGGAATCTAATGGATGCGATACAAATCACGGGGTGAACGAGCATTTCTAAATGCTTCCCCAAAGCTGTGGAAGTCGTTACCCATTAAAGTTCGGCAGGCTCCATCATTGGTGGTTTTTAAATCTCGTTTAAAGACCCACTTTTACTTTTAGACAGTGACTCGTTTTAGTGTTTTATTGTTTTAATGTGTTCTTAGTATTCCTCATGTTTTATCTGCTTTTGATCGGTATTTTTATCTTCTGTTTTAGTTGCTTAGATTGGTTGTGTTTTGGTTTAGCCTGCGCAGCACTTTGGGCAGCTCCCTTGCTGCGTTTTAAATGTGCTATATAAATAAACTATGGTATGGTATGGTATGGTAGTATTGGCTCATATCGGTGACTATACTGTAATGACTCAGAAACGCTCTTTTATGAGTATTATTTTCGGGCTACTATCGCCGTAACCTACGCCTTACAAACTCTTAACTTTTTCAACAGAATTGCTCGCAACTGAGTATTTACTAGCATAGCAAACCAGCGCGTAAAAAAACGGAACCGGAACATTTCTCACCCGTTGAGCTCGCCTTCAAAATAAAATGTTAACCCTATAGTTTACTATTAAAACCCTTACAATATGTTTGAGGTGATTTGTCCACTCCAGCTATCCGTAGATGTTTCCTGATTACAGTGGGGAGGGAGGTCTCCGCACAAGCAGGATGGATAAACAGAACTCTGTTGGCGTTGATCGTCCCCAAATTGAATTGCACCACACAAAAAAGTACAGTAAATATTTGCATGTAAATTCTCATGAAAAGATCAATGCACTGCCTTTAAAAATCTATTCATCATCATAATAGAAAATATTGCGATATTTCATTGTATCAGTATTTTCATGCATTCCTAATGAACTCTTGAGAAACCCAGGCATCACATTTTTCTAGATAAACATTTTAATGCTTGTTTGAAAGGTTTAACATGCTGCTCCACATACTGTAGGTTTGACCTCTTGTAACCTCTCATGGTTACTCAGTTACTGCCCGTATGTTATGATCCCCAGCTGTAGATGTGATGCATGTCTGACTCCCAGGATGCCTTGCTGAACATGTCAGCTGAGTCGTGCTAACCCTGCTGGGGTTAACCGCTATCGGTTTACACGACTAGATAGGAGTCCCATTTTCAGATTCAGGAAGTTCCTCTTCATCATCATTCAGATCGACCTATTTATGCGTTTGTCTCCCATCATCTCCTCCCATCACATCCATTTATCCTCCCAGCTCCCTCTTTCTCAGCGATCACCATTATTTTGAAGTTTCAGGGTTTGAAGTGTGGTCACATTCATGCATGACCGGCTGTGCTGCGGGTGCTGATCATTCGTATGCAGGCGAGGGAAGGAAGAAAATAAAAGCCCAGTTGGTTACGGTTTCACAGTCTACCGAGCTTCAATTAGAGCTCCACAACTTGTGAGAGGAGATTTCAGAAACGGGGCTGGGTCTTTAAACTCTGACCGAGCTCGTGTTTCGTTAAATAATCGGATCCGTTTTTGATCTCCTATTTAGCTGGACTTATTTCCTTGATGAGTGGGCTTAAACATTGACCGTGTGAGTGAAGTGTGTTACAGAAGGAAGCCTTGGAGAAAATCAGAGGAAGTATTACACAATAGCCAGTGTCGGGCCTCTTTACTGTTGGGTCACATTTAAAACTCCGCCGTCAGGTCTATTCTGCTGTATTTTTTGGAACATTGAGGATGTTTTATTTTCTATTTCACTTATTTTAGTGAATAAAAGGCTAAAGGAACATGTTTACATATCGTTTGGATTATGAGGTGTTGTTTAGGCTAAATGTTTGTTCCCTTTGACCTTTTGCTTCAGAGACTGATCTCTGCAGGAGGACTGTGACCCAGGGGTCACCTGCCAGATTGGTAAGTCTCACCTGTGCTTTTTACTCGATTGTACTCATTCATTGGTATTACACTTTAGATTTTTTGATAAAACATATAGTTATAAATGCATAAAAATACCTTGGATATAAGATTAATTTTATTTATAACAGTCTGACTTCTGCACAAGTTAAAACAGAAGTATGTTCTCTGTAGTTTGCGTGTCAGAATTCAATTTCAACAAGTTCAACCTAAAAACTTTTTATGCTGCATGGGGTGGTATGGGCGACGGTAGCACAAGAGTTAAGTGCATGCCCCGCAATCGGAAGGTTGCAGGTTCGAGCCTCGCTCAGTCTGTCGCTGTTGCCTGCTGGTGGTGGTCGGAGGGACGGGTGGCACCTGTGTACAGCAGACCTGCCTCTGTCAGTGTGCTCCAGGGCAGCTGTGGCTACGATGTAGCTCATCCCCACCAGTGTGTGAATGTGTGTGTAAATGGCTGATTGTGTTGCAACATGCCTTGGGGGGTTCCAGGACTCTTGAAGGTGCTAAATCAAAAACAGGCCATTTACCATTTGCATGGTCTCTTGTACTGTCTGTTTTGTTTACATATCTATTTATATTCCTTTGTAGTTATAACTAATTCATTGTCATTTGAATAAACCGTGAAGCCTGCTTGTGGCATAGCTTCACGTTATTCCGGTTTTCTTTTCCCATCTGTTGTGTCAAACCTGTTCAGGTCAGTGTGGAATGGTGAGGCAACTGAATGGTTGTTTGGATTATTAGTCAGTTTCGCATCCAGATGTGAGCTCAGCAAAAAATGGGTACCTGATGGCCTACATACCATGCTAATGTCCTGTTAAATAAAAAAAGAACGTATTTAGAAACTGAGAATGTCTCAACAGTTCGACTTTAATGACATGAGGACATTTCCAGTTTGGTATTTGGGTTTTGTCACAGCTACAGGGTCAAAGCTTCAGTTTATATATATTTTATAATCTGAAGGTTAAATTTGGATTTTTGTTTTTGTGGCCAGCAATAAAATACTTTTTGAGAGAAGACATAATTCAAATAAATTCAATTCAAAACTACTTTATTGATCCCAGAGGGACACTAGATGCTTTAAGAAGAAGAAAATGTAATTTCTATAGCGCCTCTCAAGATTAAAATCACGAGGCACTTCACAAAAAATGTAAAAAATATAAAAAATAATTTAGAAAATGGTTAAAAATATATTTAAAATGAGCAAAAAATAGACAATTGTGATAAAAAGATGTTCAGAGATTAATGACCTGTAATGAAAGTTTCTGCTAAGAGTTGCTTTTCTGGTTCTGGCTGTAGAGAGAACAGGTCTTCTTTAGTGGTCTGTGTTACAGACGATCTGAAGAACCGTCTGACTGAAGACACTCTGATGCTAAAATACTGTTCTGTCAAGCGAATGACCATAATGTTGTTTTCAGTTTATGGAGCACTTTCCTTTGCACAGTCAGCCTCAGAGCAGTCTCCAGAACAGCCCTATTTTTATAATCACTGGCTCAGATGCTGCTTCCCCTGCTGATATTTGCAGATGACACTGCTCTCTTCATTATAAGATAAAATAGCACAAAACGATCATAGCTTCTCCTCAATCCCTTCTTGTCTTGGATTTTGTTGAATTCCTGAGTTTTTAGTTTTAGTCTGAGATGGGAGAACACTCAAACGTATGAGTTCTCCTGCAACTGTTTGTTAAAGAATTGTTTTAACCACCGAAACATGATTAAAAGCCTTAGTAGCTGGTGTTCACACATACAAACATGTCATTATGCAACAGGGTCTGTAGTGCATTCATGCCTATAACAGGCTTAATGTGCTGTGGGGTGTGGGGGCTTATGTGTAATGCTGGAGCAGGAAATGAAGTGTATTGTTGACCATAAAAAGGAGTAGAGCAGAGTAGGTGTTCCCAGCTTCCTGTTGTCCCCCCTGAAGGCCAGCATGTTTTTGTAACCGCAGTGTTCAAGCCACACAATTTTTTTTGAGGCTGACCCTTTTTACTGTAGAAATTTTAAATTCATGTGTATTTGTTTTTTTAAGGACAATTTAACCTTTTATACCCTCTGAAGAAGGATGGTGGAAGATGCACAGTGAATTACAGTATGAGTGGTGCGCAAGGCATGGATTAAAGCTTTAAAGAGCTGCCTGGACAGAATAAGTTTTGCTTTTGCCAGCAGGAAAAAGTAGGATTTAACCACTAGCGTGAAGTGACTGTCAAATTTAAGCTTATCCTCTTGGACCCACAGGTTTGTGATGAGCTGCTTATTATAGTGGGCCAAGGAGCCCAGATCAACCCTGGGGGTCTTAGTAGGGCTCCTTAATACAACTACCTCAATTGTTTAGTTTGAGGGTCAAGACAACAGTGTGTCATCAGCATAGCAGTGGAATGCAATGTGATTTTTTCAGAAGTTGGAACTAAATGGAGGAGACAGAGAGGAGAGACAGGAAGGGTCTATTTATCCTGAGCCCAGTGGAACAACACCAGTGAAGGACATGTCACTGAGATGGACACAAAAACTCCTCTCCAGCAAGTAAGACTGAACCACTCCAGGGCTACATCCCTGATCACAATGCAAAATACAGCCGTTGCAACTTAAAGTGGGGGAGTTAAATGGCAGCAACCAATAACTCACCACCCTTTTTCTCAAATGTTCCTCCAGCCTTGCAGGATGGATTTACAGATGACCAAGCACTGCTCGTTTGGGTGTAGGGCTAAGGTGAAAGTGTTGTGCAGCTCGTAACATTTTGGCAGAACCAGTCACGTTTTTAAAGCATGCAGATGTGATCAAATATGGCCGCTTGCACTATAAACAATTATTTGAGATCGTCATGAATGCATGGTTGAAGAAGGAAAGCGAGCAGCCCAGTTCTTGGGGCTTGTTGGAATTTGGAGAGATCATTTCCCTAAAATGTATCAGTTTATTATCAGAAACTGGCAGCCAACATGGAGGGGCTTATTTTATTTTATTCAATAAAACATGTCTTCAGAAAAAGACACATTGGACATCGAAAGGCACAGACGGCAGCTGCTTTTTCACCTGTTGTATTTTCCTCATCGTTTCCTTGGAGATTGTCACCATGACACCCAGCTGTCACTCAAGTCATTGAATGCCCCGTGCATGTGTGTGCGTGCATGCATGCATGCATGAGTGAGTGAAAGAGCTTAGAGAGAATCATCCTGCTGCAGAGCATGGAAACAGGAGGCGTGGTTCATTATGCATGGAGGATGGAGAGTTGCATGAATGCATGAAGGGCGGGGAAGGCTTGCTGAGCTCCTTTTTTAATAATTGAAGCAACACTGCCTCCAGCTGGTGAAGCCTTGCAGTGTCTGATTAGATGAAGAATTACACCCAGAAAATACATTTCTGCAACAAGGTTGTCAGCTTTAAAATGCTTCCTGATTAGTGACAGAACTTAAAACACTAGAAATACTTGAAAATAGAGTCCTGAACGGGGGAATTTTTTACATCAGCATGGTGATGCTCTGTCTGACCTGCTGTTGTGTTGGCACCAATTTACTGCGCCCAAAGACCAATGCAAATATAGTAAGCACTATGTTTAAAATCTCAATTTAAGATTGATTTTAAAAAAATGTCATAAATGACCAGATCAGAAGAGCACCACACCCCTCCACAGAAGCTCTTTTCATCTGAATTCATAAACATTGTTTAAAAACGTCGTCAGCTCTTTTTGTACCAGCAGGTGTTTATAGATCACATGTAGCAATAGACCGCATTCACAAACAACAGCTGCTATTTAAAATCGTGTTTTACTGGAGTATCAAGTTTGCAGGAAGACCAACTCAGACGTGTCCATGAGCCGTCTCCCTGTGGTCTGTGGACTTCAGCAGATGTTAAGACTTGGAAACAAATCTGGATTTTCTGTTTTAAGACTTTATAAACCTTGACGTGACTCAGCATGAGCAAGATGCTCTGGCCCGTGGCTCATATGAGCAGGTAATCTGAGATGATCCATCTGAGTGGATGTAATAATGGGGAGTGGCTAAAAGCCACTTATCTATTATTTATGCCACTGAAGGTTCAACACCATGCAACTTCCTGCTCATGTTTCTGGAAGGAGCTCGCTGGCTGGCTGTCATTCCGGTGCAGGCGTGGAAGTTGAGCCCGATTTAACATCACTCATTTGTGCGTTGCAGTAGGAGCAGCTTTATCAAAGTAGCTGCATGTGAGCACTGGGTGGCGCTCTTTGGTCTTTTATTCAGGCGGAAACACAAGAAAGTAATTTTCTTTGCCCCAACATAGATTTTTTTCTTAGCAATACAAGTTCTCTAGAATCAGATTGAGCTTACTGGAAAGGAATATATGTCTGCTCTTGTGTGTTTGGAGGTAAAATGATGCTTTTATCAGGAACACTGGGAGTGGTCGTTACCTCCATATCCACCTTAAATGTGCAGCTGTTTGCATCCACCAGATGGCACTCATCTCCCACTCAATACAACAGCAAGGACTCCTCAACCTGACACTCATCATCATCCCTCCAAAAACCTCGTCTGTGCCCCACCCAAAATCCTGTTTGGTTGAAGCAAACAGGGAAAACGGATGTTTAAGGTGGAATTCTTCGGTTTTCCTGGTTGAATTTGTCCTGGCGCTTAGATGTTTGGTCCCAAGTTTTGGTTAGATGTGCTGCTGATGTCGGTGAGTCAGATTCAGTCAGAAGGTCAGGGAAGTAATGGTGGCTCCGGGCTGTTTGTGTAGAAGAATGGGGGATCTGTGTGAATGGGTTCAGGAGGCAGCTGCCCCCCCCCCGAGGGAGGTGCGGCTCATAAAGACGACAGTGAGTCAATGTGCCCTCCTTAATGATTTCCCAACACATCCCAGGAAGGAGTCAGAGGACTCTCAAGGGCAGGGCGGGGAGGGGAGGTGGATGTAAACACCAAACAAGGCCTGTTACAGAGCTCCAGACTCCTCACGTGTGCTGCATTCCATGTTTTTAAATGTATACAAGGTTTGTTTGGATCCTGCAGCTTAATCCTAAAAACAATCTGGGATAAAAAC